ATAGATTTAAATTTTTATTTTTTAGCTAAAGAGTTTCTTTGTAAAACGCGCTAATCTCAGGAACTTCAGGTTCGAATTGAAAAATTCTTTTATATTGGTTAGAGCATTTATTAACGAAGGCTATAAAACATATCGCTGTGACTTATAGGAGTGAAGAAATAGCGGGAAATGTAAAAAAAACGGGGAAAATTCATCTGTGCGGGTTTCCATTGCGTACGCTGCGAAAACAATTCAAAAAAATAGGAAAATTGAAATGATCTTTAAAAAGTCCGGTAACAGTTGAAATTTATAGAGTTGAACAGGAGGTTTGTAAAGACAAAAATGACTATTCTATGCCTACGAAGTCACTGACTTAACTAATAAAGGATATTTTATTTATTACCCAAATTCGTAATAATTTTTTTTGTCTAACATCACCCAATTTTTCGTTATCCCTATCACGTTTTCAGAAAAACTGCGCAAATATAATCGGAATGATTCGATGTTTGTCCGCTATTTTGGGAGACCGTAAAAATGGGTCACGAACTTACTTAAGACGTGAAAAGTACACTTATCGGTAAAGTATTTAAGAGATTTCTGATAAGAAATCCGAGTTCCTTACATAAATCGGAATCAGGAAATAAATACATTTATTAAACCGGCACAAGAGGAAAAATAAAACATGTTTTTCTAGAGTAATTTTAAATATGAAATAAAAACATTTACACAAGAATCTCCAAACCTCTAACTTAAAAAAAAAATAGTAATAAATTTCGCTATTATTAAATTTTAAAAAACTCGTTTCTCCAATATGAGAATTAGGAACATATTTCTCAATCCGATTTACTGAACTTTTCCTATGAATGGTTGTCAAGACTTCAGTGCCTGGCCAACTGGAAGAACGAAATAATATGTTTCTCCGCTAAATACTGTCTATAGTTTACGCGAGTAGTACACATTTAAATAAAACACTTTAACGGTTTAAAACGCGATATATTAGTTAAACTTATTTGGAAATGATTTTTAACTTCTCGGCTTTACCCGTGACCACGGCTGCTGCAAAGCATCCGAAACGTCGGGCCGAAGTTAAAAATTATTTCCAAATAAGTTTAACTAATATATCGCGTTTTAAACCGTTAAAGTGTTTTATTTAAATATGTTTCTCCGCTATTTCATTCAGGACTGGACGAATCTTTTTAACTGGCTTTTGATCTAGTGGTAGTAATGTATGGGTAATATTCACGGGTCGTGGGTTCGATCGCCACCCAACATGTTTCTAAATAGTTTATGCTTTTTGCAAACATGTTGATTCTTCTGGTAATCTGAAAAATGGATGGTAGGAATATTTAAAATTCCATCCGGGCCATAAGCCACCCTCCATGTCCAACCGTTTCGGTTCCCGTATGTGGATCCCCGAATATCCAGAGCCAAAATAGGTCAACAGCCCATCTGAACGTGAAGTTTTTCTGTCCTTTTCTATCTTAAACAAAAACATTAAAAAATAAATTCCAATGTTATTAGCACAATAATAAGATTCGAATTTAATATTCGCATCTTAATATTTCCTTAGTTAAATATTATAAAGGAAAAGTTCGCGTTCAAACAAATCCCTATAAACAGAAGTTACATCGGAAAACTTTCGTTTCCACGAAGTAGATAACTTGATTTAGATCGCAAACAACAATATTTGCCGCTGTCCAATCAAATGAAGAAAATTCTATTTACGGACAAAATGTCGGAATTACTTTGAGCTTTATTATATTTATTGCGCTATCCTTAATGATTTTTCGCTTGTAATATTTCGTATAAGAAATCCCAAGACTCAGAAACATAAGACAGTTATCATTTTATTCGTTGTATGTATTTGATTTTCATTTATTTATGGTCAAACCCACAATTAATATAATATTAATAATTTATAAGTTATCTCTATAACACGTCAAACACCTCAGTCTAAAATATCTAAATTGTCCTACTAACCTAATTTTTTACAGATTTTTAATGTGTAGTTTGTGAGTGGGAAGGAAATTAAACTTATTACCAATTTTATGTCTAGTTTTAGAAAATGGTATTGGATAGGAATTAAATCCAAGAACGGTTTATTGTACGCGTACGAAGTCGCGGGCACAACTCGTTCAAGATATAGATACTAACCATTCGCTTACGTCATAAACAATTAAGCCTAAGCACATTAACCCAACAAGCCACATACAAATTAGGGTTCCGCAGGCACCGTAATTAGCCCCGCTTTATCTACTACAACTGAACAAATAATTATATCGTTGCCTTGAACTTGACATAGTATGTAATTATTAGGGATGGACCGAAATTCGAAATTAAATCAAATTAAGCCCGAAGGTACAAGTTGCCATCACTGAATCATTTGCTTAATAATAAATTATCCTTTACCATATATGACTATGATACAGAATGACAGATATTGTTCACTTGATGTTAGGTAATACCTCAGTTATATAACATATAAACAAAATGCGCTGTCGGCCTATTTTGGCTTTGTGTTTTCTTCTCGAGCCCTCCATTAAACTGCCTACCGTTATCGTATGCAATAAAGGTCACCACTTAGACTGGCCCCGTAATATGCTTATTAACGGAACGGTTTGTCGTCTTTTAAGATATTATTAGTTTCAATGGCCAAATTAAATATTTACTTGTGTTTGAAGTATTGTTATAAACTACAATTCAATTAAGTTTTAAACGAAAGGCCTAAATTTGTGTGAAATCCCGTTTCCTCCTCGTGGGGCATGGGGCGAAAACACTTCTGTGTCCGTTTCACTTCTGTGCCATGACCGAAACAGTTTTTTGTTTCCCTGGGATTCGAACCCAGGACTTCTCGCGCTTAACGCAATGCTAGGCAATACCTTTAACCATTTGGCTACAGAGGCGGTCGGGCTTAAATCTACATTAACTAATTTTCAAATGCTGTTTCTTTTATTAGCTAAGCGAAACTCGCGTGACCTTTGTTAATAGGAATATGTGACGCAGAAATAATCCATGTTAGATATTTATTCGTCAATAATGTACACATTTGGGAAATTGAGTAAGCCGTATTCGCACTAACGAAATATCAGTTATGTGTCAAATTTGGGCCATCAACGAACGGGTAAAAATGTCAAGAAAACGTCTGATTTGATCCGGGGACTGTTTTATTTTTATAAACCTAAATCGTCAGGCTTTGACTAAGCTCGGCTCAGCTTTATATATCAAACATATTTTTCTTAAAATCTGTTTTCTTTAAATAGTTTCGGTCGGGTAGAGCACAAAGGTCTAATCAACTATTTATACCTATGAAAAATCGATCAGTGAAACATACATAGGCGTGGTATCGCCCCAAACCCCGATGAGCAAAACAGCATTTGACTTGAGAACTTTATAACCTGTTGTGCATAAAAGGCGAATTCGTCTAATCAATCATATACCACAGTAGTATATATCAAGATAAAACTAATCTAATCAACTTAAAAAAGTCCGGATGTACACTAAACCTTCTAATAAAATATAATTGTAGTTTATATTTTAGTTGCACAATAATTTTAATCTATTATTTATTAATATTAAGAATACTTATCTGTCTGTTTGTAAAGTCCATCCGCTTAATGTAAGATAAAATCTAGTATGTTTAGCTAAGGAAATAAAAAGAAGTATAGAATCAACTTTAAAATATTAATATTAGATTAATTACTAAACTAACAGCTATTTTATTATATCAATATCAGATTACGTTTTTTTACTAGCTTAGCTAGTATAATAAGTGCACCGATTAAGTGCATGCCGGTCTCTAGCTAAACTGGGTTCCGTACCATGGATTAGAAACACATATTATATATTGTTAACTGTTTCCAGTTATTTCAAGTGCCTACGTTTGTATCATTTAGTTTTATAATAGCCTTCCTAAAATGATAATTTTATTTTCTTTTTAATAACTATATATGTAGTTATGGCGGCTAAGAAATGACAATATGTGAACGCTGATATCCAAAATTCGAATACCCAAAACAATACACAAAACGCTGGCAAGTCAATATATCTATGAAAATGTTTTGTATGCGAGAAAAAAGTAGAACTTAAATAAACGGCAGCTTTCATAGTACATAACTAATAAGGACAAATAAGTTTACAAACAAAAGGCTCCATAAAAGTAGTAATTATTTGCATACGATACTTTAATAAAATCCCCAGCAATCAAACTCTCAAAATAGGTTTAAATCGTATGTAAAAAAACTCCTTGAAAAGGTTATTATCATGTCAATCAATATTTAAATGATAAAAATGCTTGGGGTGTGGAGGAACCCACTCTTACAAGGAAAAATATGTAGTGCACTAAAAGTAAATCAAGAATGTAAAATGAAACTTGGCGATAAAAGGAGTGACGGCGAGTTTATTGCCAGTTCTCCTCGTTCCTTCTACGCCCTTGATTTTAGAAGTGGTAGTAAATGTAAAGTTAGATTCTTTAATTATTTTGTGACGTTCATAAGTGTACATATTTACCTACATGAATAAATGATTTTTGACTTTGACTTTGACTTTGAATAATAGGCCTACAGCGTATCTTGCTTGTTTGTCCTCTTCTATCATACAATATTCCAACTCTACAACTATCGCGTTGTAGATACAGTCTCGTAACAGACGTACCGCGATTACGATACGAGTTTTAGTAATACGGAACCCTAAAACAGTCCAATGAGAAGACACAAAAAGCGTCTAATCTATGACGAACACTAGATTGATTATAGATTTTAGAATGATTGTCGTACCAATATTTCATCATCACACTATCTTGATATGTGACGTAAACTAATAAAATTTATGGGTTTTGTAAGTTAATACTTATAGGGCTTAAATTGAATTAGATATGACATATAGTTTAGATAGTTAATATTTGGGAAATACTATTAAGTTCTATCTGTAGTTTAGGCGAGTAGTACACATTAAAAAAAAACACTAATACTAAAGTTAAAAAGTGGTATTAAAATCGTCGTAATTAAGAAATTGTTTTAATGAGGATGACGTTAGGGGATGTGGCGCGTAAATTAAACACTTGTGAATCGCCTAGACCAATTTCTCAAATACGACATCCGATCTGTTTGAATCGCAGAAAAGCTTTATATGACGCTTGTTTCATAAGCGGCAATAAGTGCATGTGTGTGTTATTACATAACACTACGAATTTCTAATCCACATATTATGGTATAATAAATAATATTACATTATAGTAATAATTGCAAGTTTTATAAAATTGGTAAAAAAGCCTGAATTGGAATATAGTCAGCTTTTAGTGTGAGAAGCCTTAGAAACGCAGGACTCCAAAAAAACCTATTTTTAGCTACCAGCTCTGAACATAGGCTTCTGAACCCCCCGAGGGACCTATAACATATCCCCACCTGACCGTGCATCAAGCATGTATTTTTATAAACATATACTAATAACTTTTATGTATGTAGGGTAGAAATTGATAAATAGATTATTCTCTTAACGTTTTGGTTATAAATTACACAGGTGCAATAAAAGATAAGGAATATACACGCCTAAAAAAATATTTTGTGATTCCTATATAAACCAGCCCACGTATAATAAACATCATTATAACTTGGTCTTCCAAAGGTCACAGGTAAGTAAAAGTAATAAATAAGTTAGTCATTACAAATGTAAAATAGTTTTTATATTAATTAATTTATTCAAATACAAAACAATACAAACGTTTATCAAAAAAATAACAATCACATTATAAATTAATTTAAACACTTTTAATGGTTTTAAACTTAATAAGTTTATGAAATTCCATTTGCGATGTTTGCGCGAGATTCAAATTCAACACTGTTATATTTTGAAGAGAGTAACTCTTAAAAAAGTTTACAAATTTGACATAGAACTAAGAAGTTTAAGTAAGTGAAAGTTAAAGCCCGTTTCCCCCCTCGTGGGGCATGGGGCGAACACATTTCTGTGTCAGTTTCACTGATCCGTTCTTTTAAGGGGCAAGTTGATCATACTTCTGCGCAGTGCCCGACCGAAACATTTTTATGTTTCCCTGGGATTCGAACCCAGGACCTCTCGCGCTTAACGCAATGCTAGGCAATACGTTAAACCATTTGGCTGCGGGCTAGATGCGGTCACTTTAAGTAAGGGCAGTGTTATAAAAAATAATTTAATTATTTGGACTAAACAAGAAGTATGTCATATCCCTCTAAAGTAAGTCATAATTACTTTTTAAACTGTGATTTAAAAAACCATAACTTTTATTTTTATTTGATTAGGACAAAATGAAATTCTTCCTTATCTTGGCTGCTGTCATCGCCTTGGGCGCGGCGAAACCCAGTGCCTGGACTCTTCAGGAGTTGGAGGTAGCTCTGAAAGACCCTAACACCGATCCTGCTATAGTTCCATACCTTCAAGTAGCTCTCAACAAGATCATGGAAGCGATCCTTGCTGGAGAAACAATTGTAAGTGATACGTTTACGATATAATGCAGGTAGTTTTAAAAGCTAAACTGTTTCTAATCTAAGGGTTAGACGATATTATTAGAAACTGTTGTCTTGTATGCTTTGTCCTTATACTCATGAAAAAAGTTACGTCTATATCTATACCAAGATATAAATATAAAGAGTTTGTTTGTTTGAACGCACTCAACTACTGCTTCAAATGGAAAAATTCTTTTTTTTTGTTATTAGTTAGAGCGTTTATCGAGGCTCTAGTACTCGCGTAGTTGTCGCGTACCCTACGACAACGGTTGAAGTTGCCCAAAATATGTATATAAGAATGATTTTTCTTTAAATGATCTAGAAAATGTCTATATAGTGTAGACATTGTGTTCTTTGAGATTAACTTGCACGAACGACGGAACACGACCGACATTGTAGGCGATATTTTTAAAGATGAAGAGGTTTATAAAATCAAATTTTAATACCCACGGATACGCGGACAAAGCCGCTGACTCAGCTAGTATATAATATACCATATGTTTACAGGACTCCATTGTCGTACCAATTCCCGGTGATTACGTAAAACCCATCATTGACCCATCACCTGCTGAAGTACCTGAAGAGGTACCCGCCCCTCAACCAATTGTCCCCGAGCCCGAACCAGAACCACAGCCAGAAATACGTTCTCCTTTAGTGCAAGTTATCGTGAACGTCAAGAGCCAAAAGGTGTGGTGACTATTTTATCTAACAAGTTAAAAGTAATCTCATTAAGATAAGTAATCTCATTATTTTGACCCAGACGCCATTTTCGATATTTCTACCATCCGTTTAATACCCCAGATTTCAGCAGAGTTTAAAACGTTTTAGAAAAATTATAGAATTATAAGAAACATGTTCAAACAAAATACCAAAGAATTTGGGACAACCTCAAAACCTATTATATACTATACTAACTTGAACGATGTCAGTAGTTTACGCGAGTAGTACACATTTGCATAAACCGGTTTAACGGTTTAAAACGCGATACATATTAGTTAAACTTATATACAAATTATTTTTACTACGGCCCAACGTTTCGGATGCTACGCAGCACCCTTTGTCTCCCCGTGACCACGCACATACATGCTTATGTGATTTCTTACTAATACTCGTACAACGCTATGGTGTTTTTATCAGAAGTATTCAAAAGTAATTTAATTGCAGGACACCGCAGAATCTCCCGCCATCGTGCCAAGTCCCGTTGACATTTCTGAAAACCAACCAATTGTCAACCCTATCGATATCATCGCTAACTGAGCCGAAAATGTGATGTCATAGTTTTTAACATTATTCTTACGATACTTGGATTCTGGAAATACTCAATGAGACATAAAACATTAGATATACAAAATTTAAATAATACTACTATACGAAAAATGTCACCCAAAATATAGTTTATTTGTTTTTATTTATTTATTTTATTTTAGTATAGTTGGATAAATAAGTCATATAGTTACATTGTTATATGTAACTGAATGTTATAATATGGTAATTATAATAAAATCTTGTATTAAAAATTCATTATTAAATAAAAAACAAAAAAGAAATTGATTTTATACTTATAATTGACTTTCAATGTATATTTTTTAAAATAACAATTTATGGAAATATCAAAAGTAACGACGTATATTCAAATAAAACAATTTATTGGTTTAAAACGCGATATACATGTTTATATTAGTTTAACCTACTTGTGAAATTATTCAATTGCGGCCCGACATTACGAATAAGTTCAACTAATATATATCGCGTTATAAACCGTTTAGTGTTTTATTAAAATATGTACTACTCGCATAAACTACAGACAGTATTTAACGACGTATATTTTTAAGTTTATCAAGAACACACAAAGAAGCGTACAGAGCACCTTGTCTGTATCACTTGTAGAAGATGAATAATGTACATAGACAAATAGTCTTTATTTCGAGGCACATCTCTACGCTTAACTTGTGTACCTACTTCAAAATTCATTTCGCTCGCTAAATATTCTGTCTGCTTGAAAAAGTTCGTGCTTCGCGCAATCACCAGACAAATAGTTCAGTACTCAAGAGATGAACTCGGAGAAAATCCGCTGAAATCTGCATCCTTAAAGCGAGTACTAAGTTAGCGAGTGAAAAGTTTTCTGGTCCCCGATAAGAGACTATTCGGAACGCATTAACATAAAACCTGTCTATGCCTTCGTTTCAACGAAATATTTTCGGAAACAAAAGTCAAAAGTTTGAACTGGTCGACTAAAAATTTTATGATGCATAGATTCTAAATTCAAATAATTTATTTTAAACCAAAGTACACATACACACATATTATACAGGGATATAAGAAAATAAATAAATGGGTAATTCACACACACACTAGTGAGTACCGAGTCCTTCTACTGAGTGAGATAACACTTAGTGATAGCCAGAAATAAGTTTAAAATAATAAGGAGGAAACACAATTAAAAATAAACTACTATCAAATAAGTAAAAAAACTTATAAAACTAAATACAACTAAAAATATGAAATGTACTTACACTAACTGATTCTGCTTCTTACGAGTATAAATGCCTACAACGATCGATAAAACAGATGCAGAAATATGTCTATCACAAACCGGAGAAAAGAAGAAGAAATAAAAGGTTTTAAGAAGGTATAACATGTATGTATTAGTGAGTACGTACTTGATAATATTTAGATCTGGTTAATGAACTGTATAACGTTACATTTGACTGTTATTAATGGTAAGAACCCTAATGTAGGTTATGGGTCATGAACCATACCATTAATCATAACAATGACGTCATGATGGAAACACCAGCTATTTTTATATATACTTAAATACTGTCTACGTTAAATACACATTTAAACAAAACACTCTAACGGTTTAAAACGCGAAATATATTAGTTAAACTTATTTACATTTTTTTAATGTGACCCGACGTTTCAGGTGCTTCGCAGTAGTGAAGGTCAGGGGGGAGTATTTTATTTAAATAGATTTTACTTTTACATAATTTATCAGTTTGTGTAAAATCATCGTGGGGCATGGGATGAACACACTTCTATGTTCGTTACAGTGATGGTTTTATTTACGGGTTTATTTATAGGCTAAACGTTTTAGTATTTATAGAAACGGCTAATCTTTAGTCGTCAATTCTTTTTACAGTCCATTACAATCTTTAAACACACAAAAAAAAACTTTTTCCAAAATACAAAACCTAAACATCAGAAACATTCGTTTTTGTATTTATATTTGTCTCATTTACTGTTAAATGCATCCAATTAATTTCGCCCTGTACTGTATGCAGTTAAAACAATGCTACACAGAAGTTGTATGAAATCTTCATAAGGATGACATAAGATCTAAATATTATGTAAAGATGGCGTCCATGTCTCAGCATATATCCAGCTCGAACTAGTTTCATGTTTGCACCTTAATCGTGTATTAGCGAGACTGGAAAGTTAAGCGAAACAGACGTATATATTTGCCCTCATTTTGCCCTCGAGTTAGCTGACACAGTGTTCTATGTTTTACGATTATAACGTACTAGCTGATTCGGCAAACGTTGGTCAAAGATGGTACGATTATGTTGATACAAGTAACGAATTATCGGTGGAAATGCCCTTATTTCGACCAAATTTGATAGCCATATGAACGGTTCTTGCGAGTTAATCTTAAAAGATAGACTATCGCTGACTTTTTTAGATCAGTAAAAGGGGAATCGATACACATTGTTTTGTTTAGGAAGCCTCAAACACTCTTCGCTTCGGTCACAGTGTGATGTTATATATCCCCCTGAATAAATGGTCTACATAAAACAAAATTAATTTCTCAATCAGTTAAATAAAACACTTTTAACTGATTAAAATGTGTTGCCCAGTTACTGTAAGGCGTCTGAAACGTCGAGCCGATTTAAGAATAAATTTAAAATAAGTTATCTAGTACAATTCGAGTTTTAAACCATAACGTGCTTTATTTAAAGTTTAACGCGGACTAACTTACGTTTTTTTCTGTCTTGAACGTTCGTAATTTACCTAACTATCAGATAAATGTCAAAAGCTAATTATAATCAATTTCGAAGCATAAATTCTCTTCCGTATAAGGTATACAATATACATAATTATATTGACATTGTCCTGTCAAAATAAAAACCTATTCAGAAAGTTTTTTTTATAATGTACTAAAATCTATGACAAAGTTATATTTTAACATGAATACTGCGAGGAAAGATGTGTGTAGATTGCTTAGATTTTACAGTGGTGCCCCTGGCGCGAAACCCAAGAAGGTACAAAAGACCGTTGACCCCCGGAGGACATTCAAAGTGTATAGATTCGATGGTATCATCACGAAGGCCCAGCCCCAAATGAAGAACTACGACCTAGATGTGTCGACGTGCGGTAAAATGGTGCTCGATGCTCTAATTAAGATTAAAGATATGGACCCGACGCTCGCTTTTAGGCGTTCCTGCCGAGAAGGTATATGACCGATACAATTTTTCATTACTCACCACATCTGTTACCTTCGTGCTGTTTGCTATGTGTACTACGTATCAACCACCTATCTGGCTAATTGGTTGAACGTGACTAGCATTGCTAGGCGCGAGATATCCTGCGTTCGTATCCCGGGGAAAAATAGTTTGTTTCTGTTGGCCAGGGCAGAAGTCTGTTCAACTACTTGCCTATAAAAACTATCAGTGAAACCGATAGAGAAATTTGTTCACCCCATGCCCCACGGGAAGAAACGCTGGTATTGACACGGTTACGTGTGGTTCAGTGTAATGAACAATAAGACTGTATTTTCTACTGACACCTATAGACTATAGACATGTCACCCACGACACAGGCTTACCCTAGCCTGAGGACTAGATACTCTCTCTGCACCATGCATAGTAAAATATAATAAAGATTATACATATATATAAGCGTTAACGTAAATTTCCAGGTATATGTGGATCCTGCGCCATCAATCTCCAAGGCAAGAACTGTCTCGCGTGCATAACAGAAATCCCTCCGGACAAAACCATAACGATCTACCCGATCCCCCACATGTACGTCATCAGAGATCTGGTCGTGGACATGACACACTTCTTCAACGGGTACGATAGCATTAGGCCGTATTTAATACGGCACGACCGGTCCAAGTCGCTCGGCAAACACCAATACGCGCAGAGCGTCGAAGACAACGCGAAACTGGTCGGTCTATACGAGTGTGTGCTGTGCGCTTGCTGTTCCACATCATGTCCAAGTTACTGGTGGAATGGGAGACGGTTCCTTGGCCCGGCTACTTTGCTGCACGCCTATCGATGGGTGGTAGACTCGAGGGACGAAGACACAGAAGCGAGGTTGTATGATTTGAAGGACGATTTCGCGGTGTTCCGTTGTCACACCATCATGAACTGTTCTCTCGCATGTCCGAAGGGGCTAACTCCTCATGTTTATATTGCGCTTTTGAAGCGATTGATATCTAAAATTGATAAGAAGCCAAGACCTAGCTTGGAAACGTTGAAGTACGCTTCGGGGAACAAATAAGTTAATGGGTGTCACGTCAAACGTCACCGCGTTGCTTAGTTCTGGATTCGAATCTTTAGAGATAAATTGTCTCGGTGAGACAGGGTACAAAAGTAATCTTGTAAATAAAATTAATCAGTGAAACGGACACAGGAATGTGTTCGCCCCAAGGCCCAAAGGGAGATTTCACACAAATTTCATATAATCTTGCAAATGCATGTAAATTGATTGTTTATATATTTTATTGCAATAAATCTTATATTTTAAAGAGGTATTCATTAATCGTAGTGATAGTAAACATTTTAATATTAATCAAGGATCTTGTGTTGTCAATTTCATAGAAGTGCTGGACTTTAAAGCCTGTGTCACAAGCTCTAAGTGCTCAGTGACTTCAATTTTAGGAGAAAATCAAACCCGTTTAAATAGGTCCAATTAATTTGTTGATACTAACCAAAATAATTACATTGGACAACAGTCACGACCTTATCATATATATAAAATTTTAAAAACAGGCCTGTCTGTCGTTACCAAGTTGATACAAAGATAATATTCGGAATCACATTAGGCGACTGCTTTTTAATTAGTTGTTTATTGCTCGAGCGTTGCTTGGCTATCCCCCTCTAACATGTCTTTTCGTCTAACCGAAAATATGAAGTCATTTTTCACGACAATTACACAAATATGCCCCTAAAACTCGTGATTGAGTGTAGACATCCTTTCTCTTAACCCCTCTCCGATCAATCAGTGCGCTGATAAATTGATACTACGTGACGTTACAAACTTTATCTACGCTCGAGTTTACATTCCAACGACCGTGGATCCATATGGGTTTTATCATGGTTGCAAGAGAAGTTAAATTACGTAAATAAGCACAAATTTGAGTGTTTTCTTAGATCTATACCTAATAAATAGCTATAACTTGGATACATTAATTGTTTAAATTAACCAAGCTAGAAAAAAAAACCTTTTAATGCCATTGAGTTAATATTGCAGCACGTGCCGTGACGTGCAGCAGATGTCCAAATGAAACTAGTGTCTATCGATTACCCGGAACTCAAACTTAGGATATCGGGCTTCCACGGGGAGAACGCTAAGTCGGTTCCACGTCTAATTTAATAGCAACAGATAATCAGCGTAATGAGTCAAAGCTTGTAACGAGAGCTCGAGAATCAAATATATTCTACGGACTAAGTAGCGAAAGTGTCATAAAAACAAATTATGATGTCAATACATTGAGATCCACCGATTGCCTCTGACACGGGTCCATCAATAAATCGGGATATACGCGTCCGTCCATAAAAGGACCCTTATCACATAAACTACTCACTGCTAATACATTTTTACCACTCCCCAGAGATAAACCTTTGGGGAACACGACTTTTTAATTTGTTTTTTATTCTCTAACGGAAAACAAAGACTCATTGTTTTGCTTGCTGACATTTTAAACATTCAAATATTCCTAGCATACGGACCGCACCCACGTTAGCGAGAAAAGTTCCAAGATCGAATCCTAGTTTTATTCGTCATAAATATTGACAAATTTATTTAGTACAGTTATAAGTATGGATTACTTTAGGCATGGTAGAATATAATAGGGTTGGGAAGGGTCAAACGAATGATTGATTGATGGTGGCGAAAATGATTAATGATGGCGAAGTGTCTCTGACGATGAAGAGACAGTCGTGTGTCAAGACGATCCCCAGCTCTTAGTCATGTTCTATATAAGGTTAATACAGAGGTAATGGGGTTTGGTAATCCGTATTTAGAAATGATTAAACCTAGGTTAATTCAATGTCTTAACGGTAAAACGTGTAGTGTAGCATTGTTTGGGTCTAGGTTCGATTTCCGCAAAAACGAAAAAGAAAAATCGTTTTAGTTGGGTAAAGCACAAAAGGCTAATTCATTAGTAATTTCATTTGGCTGTAGATAAAATGTATTAAAAACGAACCTGGTACTTATTGAACTAGGAATCTAATTTGAGTAAAATTCTAATACTTCTACACAAAATATAAGTCAGAGGTAGAGTGGCCTAATAACAATTTTCCGTCACTATAGATTAAGATTTTTAGACTATAAAAATATAAATAAGTCAAGTCATAAAATTGCAGTTAGGCTACTCTGCCTCTAGCGGATTTATATTATTTGTGTACCTTATATTAATGCGAATAGATATTTGTTTTAAGCTCATAACAAGTTAAACGAGCTCAAGTAAAGTAGAACTTCTCCCGGGAACAATTATGGTTTCAAATTATGCTAATGACTCGCTTACCATCTCGGATTTTCAAGGTTCGAAGCGATTTAAGTTAAGCTCAAATCCGACAATATTTCAGTAAGTAGCTCTTGTTAAACCAGGTTTAAGTCATGACCGTAATTTTTATTTATTAAGTATGAAATGTTTCACAATTATCACATTATGTTTTTCTTATAAAAAAAAAATGAATTAAAAAATACCACTGTGTACAATAACAAAGTAAAACTAGAGAAGCGCTAACGCTAAGCGTAACTAATTACAAGATAGAAACAAGATATTGGCAAACTAAACGGTAAAAAATTAATATAACGGGCGAGACTCGAATCCACGACCGGTGACGCACCGTGCCGTTATACTAATTGTACTTTGACGTAACTCTTATACTATTATAGTTATTCGGTCTACTATAGAACAAAACACCAGTATAGGCATAGTAATATATAATTATTGTCTGTAAAATTACACAAGTCCACATTTAAATAAAACAGTTTTAACAGTTTCAAAAGCGAAATATATTCTATAACTTATTTTTAAATCAAGAGAATTACGGCATGGCGTTCCGGATGTCCCCCGTGATCATGTCGGGTCGTAATTTAAATAATAAATAAGTGAACATATATAATAAATGTCGCGTTTCGAACCGTTAAAAGTATTTTATTTAAATATAGCGCACGCGTGAAAGAGCCGTCGGATAAGTAAGGATACGTGAATAATGAAATCGAAGAATGCATTCGAAGGTCCATAGTGACAGGGAAAAGCACTTTCGTGATCGATGTAGCGTTCAACCGTCATTGTTTCAGCTTACCACTGACTATTATGGGAAAGATTAATTCGTCGCTATTACGTTTCCGTAATCTGACTCGCAGAGTTTACTTAGAATTTCGCAGATCACACACAAATAATCTATGGCTTCATACGAAATAAAATGTCATAAGTGTAATTTTATTGTGTACTTCTATCCAATTAATGTAACTGGCTATTGCCGTTTTAATTGTTTGTAATAAATAAATCAATAAATAATAATTCAACAATATTTAACAATAAGTAAAATCCAAAAAATCATTTGTGTGAATCAGTGTGATTTGAGATGTTATTAAAAGGTTCCTGTGAACATATATTATAGTGTAAGCCCAAAAATAACGCAGAGTTATATAATATACTTTGTTGTACTTTACTGTCTGTAGTTTCACTACGAGTGACGACAGGAATAAACATTTAAACACACGCACAATTAACACGGCTTTGTTAACATATTTCACATTTAACACGTTTTAAACCGTTACATATGTTTACGTTAACAAGTTTCGCAAATGCTTTACGCTATTAGAAGTAACTTCTTGTTTATAAAAAAGTTAAACACCATCTAAAACACTATCTGTAGTTTACGCGAGTAGTACACATTTAAATAAACACTTTAACGGTTTAAAACGCGATATATTTTAGTTAGACTTGTTTGAAAATTATTTCAAACTACGGCCGTGGTCTCCCCGTGACCACGGCTGCTGCTGTTTAACTAAAATATATCGCGTTTTAAACCGTTAAAGTGTTTTATTCAAACTCCATGTAATTTTTATTTTAAACAACAAAAATAAAATAACTTTTTTTTAAAGATATCCGTTTCAAAATGGCGAGAGTTATTCGAGTTATGTCCAAGTATACAGATAGGAGCGGAATAAAATCCATCGCAGAGAAGAGATGATTTACGGCAGTTAACCCTAATTAATCTCCCGTTAACCTGGACGCGAGAGGTGTAACGGAGCTTGAGTTATAACTCCTTTGGTAATTATTACGCAGCGGATTGCCAAGACTTATCTTTGCTGCAATATTATTGTCCTATTATTTACGCCAATAATTGCAATAATTACTTAATATTGTTTCCCGCTGAAGTCACTGTCACACTTTAAAATATCAAATGGAACACTAGGGTTTTGCTGAAAATCAGCGTTGAGCGTGACTGTACAACTTATGCTCACGCATACCCTTTTGACATCACTTTTCTTGAATTCATTTGTGCTATTCATAGATATCTTTGTTGCAATGATATAAAAGCTTTTTTATTTATTTATAAATTATCAATGACAAAGACGGAAATAAAAATACTATCATTTGTTAAATAAAACACTTTAACAGTTTAAAAAGCGATATACTTTAGTTAGACTTGTTTGAAAATTATTTCTAACTACGGCCCGACGTTTCGGATGCTTTGCTGCAGCCTTGGTCACGGGGAGACGTTAGTGTTTTATTTGAATGTGTAGGTACTACTCGCGTAAACTACAGACAATACCAATCTTTTTCGTATGTTATGCGTCGTAATGCGTTTTATAGAATTTGCTTGACTAGTTCAAAACTGAACATGTTTTTTATCCTGGGAAATCAAACCAAGAAAACTTTATTTAATTAAACGAGAAGCACCTTAGCTGAATTATATTATTGTTACCAAACATGCTCATTGGCTCAAAAGCGTTAAAAACTCATTGGAGTGTCTAAACGACCATGTAGCGCATAAAGTAGTAATATTATTTTAAAAATCGAAAATAAATTGAAAAAATCTTCGACATAGTCCTGACCGTGTCGAAAAAAAAAAATTTCAATTTATTTTCGATTTTTAAATTATATAGGGCCTTCATGTGCAATAACATGTGAAAAATATTAATGTTTTCACAGTAGTAATATTGTTTTGTGGGGTCTTCCCGTAGGGCATGGGGCGAACACATTTCTGTCCGTTTCACTCATCGGTTCCATTACAGTCAAGTAGGCGAGACTTCTGTGCCCTGCCCGATCGAAACAATCTATTGTTTCCCCGAGATCCGAAACCAGGGCCTCTCGCGCTTAACGCAATGATAGGCAACGCGTTTACCCACTTAATTCATAAAAAACGTATTACTTAATATAAAATTGTTATAAACATGTTTTAGTATAAGTACCTGTTGGTATAAAATACTTCTTTTAAGTACCTACTGAATTTACAAAGTAGTAAAATTTTTACATGGAGAGATTTAAAGTAAAAACGCTGACCTTATCTGCTTTATAGCTCTTTACCGGAAAAACTCTTCTGCTCATTTCGAAATACTTCATCTTCCCAAGTGAATTAGTTATTTTGAAACGAATTTGTTTTGCATCAAAACCAAATGCAATTACGTCAACCCGCAGCGGTTGTAAGGCGAAAACTTTTCAATCCAAAGCCAGAATTCTAACATTTTACGGAAATAAGCGGAAACTCGTCCAACAGCTATTTAAAAGTAGTGCACTCACATTATAGCATTTTCATTTGAAGTCAATTTGTCTATAATATACATTTTAAATAGTTCTTCAAACCTACAGACGGGAATCGAATCAATATCCTGTTGTGGTCGCGGGTTTATATCCCGCCCTAGTCATATTATTTTTAATCACATTTGAAAGTTACACAAAACTATCTATATGTGAAAAATGTTAATCTCATTGCCATTTCAGAAAAGACATGGTAATAAAATCTACTTTTAGTAGTGTAGTAGTATTAGCTTCGTCTTGCCGCTGTTTCAACCGAAAGACGTCTGGTGTCCGAAACTGGGGCAGAGTACACTATCAGATCATCAACAATAACCAATAAAAATACCGTTTAGTCAGAAAATAAATATATATAAATAAGACATTTGCCCCATGCCGCACTCAGGAAAATCTAACTTTCCCTTTTTTGCTGTTTTTGGTCAAATCACACCGGCTATCAATATCATCAACCAATCATAACATAAAAGGAATTAATAATAAAAACAAAAACACCGATTCCGTAGCCCAATGATCCCGTACCAATTCCCGGCTTCGAAACCAGAGAAACAAGAAACTATTTTGATCAGGCAGTGCACAGAAGTCTGACTAACTACTTAAACAAAATCGATCAAAGATATCAAAATAGAAATGTCTTTGCCCCACAAGAAAAAGGATGTCACGCATGGCTGTAGACTTTTTGGGGTCAATTTATATGGGCGTGTCTGTCTATATCTGAGTAATATCGCGGTGTTAATCGCGTAGATATTAATAAAATGCAGAAGAAACAGGTAGGTAATGTACGTGCCAGTTTTTAGGTGCTAAGAATCTAAGAATTAATTTATCTCGCCACCGTCTACGCGAGTGAGCACGTTCTTTTTCAGCCGCGTCGACTGAAACGCTCTTGAAAAGACAAGCTCCACTAATTACATTCTCGGGTGCATCTCTTTCATTTAAAGTGCATTGTTTGCTAGAAGCGCTCTTTAAAAATACTTGAATAGTCTTCACACTTTAAACCAGATTGCTTAGAAGTGTTATATATATTTTTTATAACAGAGAACGACAGACGAGCCAATAATTTATCGGCTTTTTCATCTGTGGACGCTGGTTCGTCACTCGGACGGAATTTCGATATCTACAACCCATGGGTTTAAATGTTTCTAATCAATGTATATTTTTTCTGAAACATCTAACATGTGAACCGAACTTGTAGCCAAATGGTTTAATGTGGTGCCTAGTATTGCGTGGAGCGGTAGAGGTCCTGAGTTCGAACCCCGCGGAAACAATAGATTGATCGCTCGGACAGGGCATAGAAGTATAATTACTTTCATTTCAACAAATTTCACTTTTTTTGTTGGACTACGTCGAGTTATATATCGAACTTCACGAACCATCGTCCACAGATGAAAAAGCCGTGAAATTTAATCAAGGTTTGATATCAGTTGGTGGATGTCCGAATATCCAAAGCTAGGTCGAAAGCCATCTTGTTTAGACACATATAGGCTGTTATATGACTATTGTGGTACACTTTCCATCTGTCTTATATCATAAAAAAGTCTAGATTCTGGAGTTTGTACAATAAAGGTACACAATTAAAATACGAAAATATATGATACATTTTTATTCGTTTTATTTTTTTATTTGCATCTAAGATAAACAGGTTTGTATAACAAACATACAATATGTACCACACGGCCATCGGTTTAAGAAGAGCAGTAGATTGTTTCTAAAATCTACATAATAAACTTGCATATTTCTTCACAACATGATAATAACTTAAATCTTATTTTTAAACGTCAATAAACAAAATTTAAGCTAAGTGATTTATTTAATCAGAAATTAATATTGTTTTTCTTCTACACTTTTAAAGTTAAACACGAAATAGATAAGTTCAACTCTTTATTTTCAACCACGACCCACTTCCAGATGCTTAGCAACCGTGGTCACAGGGGGTTGAAAAAAAAGACAACTAATTTATTTCCCTTATTAAGTATTTTAATTAAATGTGGTATAAACTACAGACAAAACATTGTTTATTTAAATAAAAAGAATTTGTATGTATAGGTACGTCACAAAAAATCCCAATACTACTCAAACTTAAATGCTATATTCGACATTCTTAACTATAATTGTATCCAAAAAACACATTTTTTATGAAAATACTTTTAATTTACACTTATTTCGTATTTAATACTAAATAGGTATTTATAGTCAGACTGTGTTAAGAATCAAGACATAACTTAATCTAGACATTAATATAACAAAAGAAATGAAGCGTTGAGTACAGTAGGGTAAAACAGAATTCGCTTTTTGTCAGAGAATTATGTTAATCTCATCCCTACGTCTGTATGCACGTTATTTACGCTGTGTAATTGTTTTGCTTAAAAGTAACAAAAAAAGCTACTTGTTTAGTAGTTATAGAACATTTGCATATCGAATAACGATTTAACCTTCGACATTTTGATGTTTTAGGCCGCTAGAGTCAGAGTGGCCTAAACAAAACGTGATTTTGAATAAGGAGGAAAATAAAAATGCGCAGTTAACTTAGGACGAAACGAAACGTTAACGAAAATGAATTTGTACTATTATTTGTGTTAACAATTTTCGGTCACTGTGCTCTTGTAGATTAACATTTTTAGACTATAAAAATATATGTCAGTCAAGTCATAAAATTGCAGTTAGGCCACTCTGCCTCATATATGGTTAATGTTACAAAATCCTTCATCGAATCTTTCTTGTTTAAAACTGCCAAACACACAAACACACAGTTTTAGATTAGGGCCTTTGCCCAGTCAGCGATTCTCATATATTGTTCATATCGTAAAGAACCTGGCAGATTGTTCGCGACGCTTCCACGTTGCTTAAAGCTATGGACGCAAGATGAGCCTCGTACTGTCGCAATATTCTGTAAGATAATCATTAGTTTATTATAATCCCTAGTTTTTATATTTGCCTAATTATGTAATGTATAAAATTCTCGTGTCGCTGTTAGTTATCACACACCTCCGAACGATTTTATATGCATATTCAGAAGGTCTAAGCATATTTCATACCCCTAAATGATGAATTATATATCACTGTAATTTTTTAATATGTTTTTAATGTAGCATTAAAATACAACCTACTCCTCTCCAACTCGTCGGTCTAATGGTAGCAATGTATGCTAATCGGGTCAACGGGTCGTGGGTTCAATCCCCACCAGGTCCAACATATTTTTAATTTTTCAATTTATAATTTTTTGAAACATGCTGGACTTCGTCTGGAAAGCTGGATTTGCCTTATTGCTTTGCGGTGCGAGATTTTTCAGTTAATATTTTATCGAAAAAAAAGCCGTGAACCTTAATCGCGTTTCGGTTCCAGTCAGTGGATTTTCGAATATCCAAAGCCAAAATAGGTCGACATCGCATCTTGTTTATTTATATGCTACAGGCTGGAATTATCACCTGCCATCGAGTGAACCCCGCGAATTGTCTGTCTCCGTCTATATTTAAAAAATAAACCTAGTATACTATGTTATAACTATATTCTACGACACGGACGGGATTTGAACCGGCATCCACAGCGTTCTCTGCTGCTGCTCAAACCAATTGAGCTACTGTACCGTACGTAGTACCCTTTTAAGTTGTTCACCACCTGTGAACCTGTAAGTAGTCCTTTGCTACTTTTTGGATAAAAGTTTTTGTTCACGCCTATTTATGTAATTCAAATATTAAAATACATAATAAAAGAAATCCTTACCGTCTCCCTGTATTCGAGTAGATAACGATATTCCTCAAAATGAGAGCAGCTGTGAGTCGAATACTCTTCGTAACAGGCCCTTCGTTCTCATCCTGCAAACGGGACTATGCATTTTACTAAATAAATATATATAAGGAAATAGTGGGTTAATATAAATACATATACGTAACTCTCCTGTAATACCGTTAAACAATTTCCATGTGTCAATTCAACATGCAAAACACTATTTATTAGTTCGTTAAATAGTGTCAGAAAATTCAAGTTGTTAGTCTTAGTTCAGGGCGACATTTACATAAAACAAAATAAAATAATTGAATTAAATGTAAGTAGAACAAAAAACAACAAAACACAAACAGCATAAACAAAACACAAGCGAAAACCCCTTCAACTGTGTGAAAAGAGCTCTATAACTTGAAAAATATGAAGTCGATTTTTAGGCTAACGCTACGACACGGGCGAGAATTGAATCGGCATCCATGGCGTTCCGTGCTCTTGCTCTGACCAATTGAGCTACCATATTTCTTGTGTGACAAAGTTCAAATCAAAGGTTGAAATTCCGCCCGTGTCGTCTTTTTTTAAATCTAAAATCTATTTTTGATTAATATAATGCCAGTTTTCAAATATGTAGACAATACTAAAACTGCACGATTCTCGTGTCGTCTTAGTCTAGTTAGTAAAACTCTCCTATCTAGTTTAATTAATAACCAAAACCAACGCCCAAATGTAGGTAGATTTTAAAGTTTAAAACGTGAGATATATGTATTAGTAAATATATTTTTAACAACGGCTCGACGTTTCAAGTCGATTGCCGATCAAAAATGTAAAGCTTATACCAGTTTCGAATTAAGCGTTTCCCCACCGTGACGACGGCTGCGTCAGCATCCGAAACGTCGGGCCGTTGTTTGAAATTAAAAATAAGTTAATTAAATTCGAAGTCCATCCCCTTCGCTAAAATATTTATTTTTATAAAACCCCTTTCACACTTGACGTAACCATATACATGTGAATCTCACCACTTGCTCCGTCTCGCGAGTGCTTTCGATGGTGTGCTGTGCGCACACAAACGTACAAGTTAGTTACATTAGCCAATTTGTATTTGTATGCGTGATAGCGATGGCTAACACAAGTGCAAGAAAGAGAAAGAAATAAAACTAATTAAAAAAAAATCTTTCGAAAAAATTATGAATGCATTATCTAGATGTCAAATGCGCACTCGAAAAATAATGCTATGTCCACACTCACCATGAGTTCTCTGGGGTTAAACAGATCCGTGGCGTGTTTATTTAGAGCAGCAAGCGCAGCGTTCGGCGGATACGCGACGGACGTCGGCTTGTTCGCTTCCGGTTCGGCAGCCGCGTGCCGGCGGGAATTGTATATCGCCTTTAATGCCTGTAACAGAAGAAATATATAAAGGGTGCCGCCATTAAATGTACCTGTGCAACGGGATCATGGTCAATAAAGCTGTTTCCAAGAATAAAAATATATTTTCACCCAATTTAAAGAAGTTCGCTATAAAAAAAATATCGCAAACAGAATTAATTAACTAAAATTTCTGGTTTTAATTTGTAATTTACAAATAATAAAAGTTATATATTTTGTTTTTTTTGTTAAGGGTGTTTTATTTAAATTTTCACACCAAAAAAGATCCAATATGAGTTGGACCTCTTTTATCTTTTTAACAAAACATATTTTACACATCCTTAAACTATAAATACATTACAAATACATCACAAAAGCGTTATTTATAAATATATACTTTATAAATAAAAGTTAGAAAAAATCACAATTCCTCCTATTACAACTTACCTGCTGCGTACAATGCTTATCATTAAGGTGGTTGAGTAAAGCGAACGTCTTTCGAGGTACACGATCGCAGTCGATCCACATACAGGGAGCTTCGCCCCCGGCGCCACCGGGGCAATGAGTGCGTGCCGCATGTGAGAACACGCACGATGCACTACTGAACAACCTGCGAATAACACGCTAGTGAGGGGAAAGCTTTACAATGAAATGTGTCTTTTTTTAAACTTTTAACGCTAAACATTTTCACACTAGCTAAACAAAATTTAATAAAATATTGTTAAATGATACACTTAGGTCATACAGACACGTACTTGCCACACCCTTTCCAATGGCATACCCATGGTGTATCATCTTGTGGATTCTGTGGGATAGGCGTGGCTGGTGTCAAAGGCGGTGGTGGAGTTGCCGCTGGCTTCGGCGGCGGCTTCGTCTGAAAAAATGATAAGAGAAATAAGAAAGAGTAATAAGTTCTAACAAAACTCAATTTGGAACATACATTTACCGTTTTACGAGGTTATACCTCTTTATTTACAACTTCTTTTAATAAAACGCTTTTAACAGTTATCACTCGATATATAAAACATCACTTATTTGTAATATATTTTAACTGCGTCTCGACGTTTCGGGTGCTTTGCAGCCTGGGATAAGCCAGCAACCTATAATATATACCATTAACACTATAATATATCCTACCTCGGTAATCGGTTGCGTAACGACGGTTTCTTTTTCTCCGATTTTCGTGTTGCCCACCATGACTGGTTGTCTCGTAATTACTTGACGCATTAAGGGCTGTTGCGGTTTCTGCAACAACAAAAAAAACAACCCATTCATAAATGTAACTAGTTAGTTTTCACACGCTTACCTTAAAGCCTCAATAAATAGATTCTCACGTTGGTCTACTGATAGCAATGTGCTAATAATCAACGCGGTTTGTGGGTTAGATCTTCACCAGACCAATATTTTTCTAATAATTTTATAAATAATATTGCTGAAACGCTAGACTTCACAAAAGGGTGATAGGAATATCGAAACTCCTTCCGGGTCAATCCCCATCCACAGATGCAAAAGTGAAGTTTAATCACGTTTCAATTTTCTTCTATAGATTACAGAATCCAAAGCGAACACAGGTCGAGAGCGTATCCTGTTGCGACTTTATATGGGTGTTCAGAATTGCAGAGATAATGTATTACTACTTACGGCGGGACTCTGAACTACACTTTTACTCTCGATCTGTACTGGAGCCGTGCTGCTCGTTGCAGTTGTCATTTGGCTTCTCTGCGGTTGGACAACCCTATGCACGTTCTGTTTCAACGGCGCGTTCATTATAATTTGCTGATTGTTCGAAACCGCGATAATCTGTTGGTTTCCTTGAAGCAATTGCTGGTTTCCCTGGATTATCTGTTGGCTGGCCACTATAGGGTTGCCAGTCGACGTGTTTATCAGCGCCGGAGGCTGTTTTTGCGTTACTACTATCTGCTGTGTTTGCGGTTGATTTATAATCTGTGCTTTATGAGGTTGAGGTTGGGTCGTTATAATCGGTTGCTGGCTTGGTGTGATTTGAGGAGCGTTCTGGAAACGTTTTTAATAAAATATTATTGAACGTGCACTTGAATATTTATCGAAAACGTATTTTTTACAAAAATAAATGACACATAAAAGATGATAACATTGTTGTAAAAACTACGTATTGTATTAAAAATAAAAGTTGAATGTGTAATTTCATATATATTTAACTTATAGAAGTATAAAAAATGAAACGTAACACGTTCGTATTAAGGTCGAAATTACATAACATATACATCATATACATTAACGGAGCGTTTTTATTATGAGGCGATGATGCGGTAACTTAGTTGTAAAATAGGTTTTTAATCGCCGATAATGTCTGTGTCATTTTTTTATCTTTCATAACATTTAACTTCATTAATTTTATTGGTAGAAAGCAAACACTGAAAGGTTCAAGAATAGAAGTCCAGACACCACCAGAAGCATGAAAGCAACACATTTTATTCACGCATATATACGATTATATTCAAAAACATTTACATATATTATGATAAAATGTAATCGTCAAAACGTCTTCTAAATGTTGTACACATGACATGTCCTTTTTTTATCTGAACTGTACTAGATCAAAGCTAAGCATAGATTTTAAAAGTGCATACATCCGGCCAAAAATCTATATTGAAGGGCTACTTACTAACTGTCGCCCATTGTTTTGTAAAAAAACAAAAACAAGCATTCTAGGAGTCTAGTTTTTTTCCAATGAACATCTATAGACTAAAATTCGTTTGCTAGATAATAACCCTCATCTACAACATCCATGCACAAACTACAGTACAGTGTGCATGAAAACCTGCGCAAGCGCCGTTTTGACTACGGCGATCGGCTGCGAAGTGCTCACTAGTGTGGGCTGACTCACAATCACCCTCTGTGTCGATTGGATAACGCCGGAGTTCTGTGTAACATTCATTGCATAATCAAACAGATGTTTTAAGTTGAAATAATTTTTACGGTCGATATGTTTTTGATAATTCCTTACATACCAAAATCTTACTACCACATTTTAGGTTATAATTAATTGAGCCCCGAAAAATAACAAAGACAAAACATGTATATCATGCAGATATGTATAAATTGCAAAGTAAAAGATAATTTTTGGCGTTGAAGTATACATTATACAACTACTCGTATAAAAGCGAAAACGCAATTTAGATAGCCTAAATCACAATTTTCAATCGATCTAATAAGCTGCTCGTACGCGTATACTATTAAGCTATAATCATCAAGGTAGTAGAAATCACAGAATAAAACATAGAAACATACAAGGATAGTGTCTGTATTTTACGCGAGTAGTACTCATTTAAATATAACATTTTACCACCTTAAAGAACGATATATTTTAGTTAAACTGCAGCAGTGGTCAAGGGGAGACCACGGCTGCTGCATCCGAAACGTCGGGCCGTAGTTAAAAATAATTTTCAAACAAGTTGAACTAAAATATATCACGTTTTAAACTGTTAAAGTGTTTTATTTAAACATACATGGATTCTCTATCGTATTTATAAACGAAACCCTAAAAGACGAAAAAACCCTAAAAGGGAACAAATAAAAATATTTCCAATAACAATTCCGTGGATTTGCTTGTATATAGCACTGTAACTACACAGTATTGTGCCAAGATCTAAATCATTATAAAAGAGGTATGGAGTATTCCAACATTTTATGTGTAATATTAATGCATGAAACTAAGTGTTGAAGCTACATGAGGTATAACATATTATGAGCAAGCAAAACGTATGCGATAAGCTGTGCTGTGGTATTATAAATCTGTAGGGCCACAAATATTTTATCAAAGCCACTATTTTTAAAAAATGCGATCATTTTCCTTATAATACTTACATCTATGTCTAGATGAGTATTGTTATTTTTAACATGTTATTTGGACATCACAGAGCAGATTAATAGAAACAGAACATGTTAATGATTGAAATAGCTCAAAATGAAGATGTACATATGCTTGTAACGAAACGCAGGTTACTATGGCAACGTTATATTTGTCTATAAGTAGCGGCACGGATCTTAAGCGCTGAACGAATCCTGCGCAGAAGTAAAAAATAAGGTATCGAAGGGACGGAAAAGCGGGCGCAGGGCGAGTGAACGTCATGTGCGCTAGCGTTGATTGGTTCTCCAGTCGTGTTGTCTTTATCGAACCAATACGACGCTCCGCTTGCATCTCGAGTATAGTCACGTTCTCCAATCAATTACGTGCGCTATTGTAAAGATGCACAACTATCCCCTCTACACTTCATTCAGCGCTAAACATCCGTGCCGCGCCTATAAGTAAGGATGACAAGTTTGAAAGTTTTTTAACAACTTTCAATGTGTATGTATGTGCGTTTGTGGGTTTTGTGCGAGTGTGGGTTTGTGTGTAATAAAAAATAAAACAACAAGGGCAGTAACGCACTAAATGTATAAATTTATACACTATCGTCTAAAAGTCATATGAGATAATCAATAATTAATAGAATAGATAATTACTAGGGATTATATTTTACGTTATCCTTTGTAAACTGTCAAATTATTCATCCTTTATAATTAGCTTATAACCGGTTGCTATGGTAACCCACGAAGTTTGTTAGTCGACAGGTGAAAGAACAAAAAGAGTTAGCGTAACCCAAAGTGCTAAGCGTCTAGTTGTTTAACCTGGATAATCTGTTGTTGGGCTATAGCCTCTGTGGCCTGAGCTATGAGGGTGTTTAGGGTCGCCTCGTCCAAACCGCTCGGGTTGTTCACCTTTTGTCAACAAATCCATTATTTCACTACTTTTAAATTTAATCACAAACATTATTATTTGAATCCTATAATGACAATTAGTGTAGTTTTGAATATTGTTACACCAAATAAGCGCTTTTGCTTCAAGATGCAATACTTTATTAAAACAAAACTAAAAGAGATAAACGCGATACAACATTTGTATTATTTAAATATACGTCTCGGACAGTAGACGCGAAATTTCATAAATCGCGTTGCACCTAAACTTAGTTTTATTTGATTGTGTATATCTTCAGTTCTATATTGGCAAAGACTTAAATTTTTTATAAAAATTATTCAGAATACCACTCACCGTTAATGTCAAAGGACCTCCACCCGCTCCCTGGACTATTATAATAGTTTTTTGCATCATATTCCCAGGGATGTTTGACGTTATATAGCCTAGACTTCCTAAAAACAGATTAGAAGAATAATTAAAATCGCTCAGTAAAACAGACACAAATGTGTTCTCTTCAGCCGCAAAAAACACTGGAATCCTCGTCTATATGACCGAAAGGAAAAAACAATTACGCAACCGAACTTTCGTGACATAAATAATAAGATTGAGAAATTAAGATCGAACAAAATGCTAGGTACAGAAGCTTAGTTTAATTTAAAGTAATTTTTTTTTACTGTGTTTAAGTAGACATTAAAATTTTCCATGGCACCAAGTCCAATATTACTTAATACAAATAATAAAGATAACCTTGCGATGTGTTCGGTGTTGTTATTATCTGCATCGGCTGTTGGACAAACTGCGGTTGCGATGCCACTGTTTTCTCTGAAAAGTGGCGAATTTTCATAATGTAAAAACTATATATGTATAATGAAAAATGTCGAATTTGAAAGGTAAAAGAAAAATATTTAAACGTAGGTTAGTTACCTTGAAGTATGATTTGACCCGCTTGCGACGCAATGATGTTCTGAACATCCACTGGCTGAACTTGTAACATCGGTTGCTGCATTTGTATCGTTGGTTGCTGAACCTGTAACCGAAGTTATGATATTTATTTATATCGTGAGGTCCACTTTTACAAGTAAGTTCACAAAACGCTGAAACAAATCTCGTATAATTTCATGTTATTTTGACAAAAAAGAACAACTTTTTGATTTGACAACTTCTTGTCACGAAATTTACCTAAATAACAAACAAAAGAACATACCTGCATCGTTTTGTGAACCTGCATAGATGGTTGTTGAACCTGCATAGATGGTTGTTGAACCTAAAAATATTTTTTCATTTCATTACAATGTCGACCACTAACAATGTCGGTAGTCACTTTATTTATAATTAGTCTGTAGCAGATAATAAAAAAAAACAATTTAGTATTTTTTTAAAGTAACATAAAGATGAATACATAAATACTGCCTTAAGGTTTAGGCATTTCATAAAAAAAAACAAATTCAATAGAACCTAATATGTGGTTTAAGATGAATTGCTAAACCGTACCTGTAATATTGGCTCCTGTATAATGACTGAACTCTCTGTAGAAGGAACTAGAACCGGTTGTTGTATTTGTTGTACAGTGTCGCCATCTTGTTTGACTGGTAGCTATAAAAATAGGTTTTACAGACACTTAGTAAATAGATAAGTAAATAGCTTCATTTTTGAAGGTTTTGTATATTCGAAATTTATAGGAAATATATATGCATCAACAAACCAAGATAAAGAATTTATGATAAAAACTTCAGCAGTTACCCCTGGAATAAATACTTTTTATAAAACAATATAATATGATAAACAATTAAAGGCACTTCAAGGAAATTTAATTAACATGTTTATTTAACACCGCATGCCAAATCATTGTCAAGTTTTGCACCATAAATAATAAAATAAAATATGTCTGTTTTTCTTTTAATTGGCACACACAACCCTATACCATTCTGGCAAACTCCGCATACAAGAAGCATCTACAAAAATAATATAAACACCTTAGGAGCCAATGGTCCACTGACTAGAATTCCTCGGGGCCGCTATCCATACGATACAGACAGACATGAAAACATTATAATTCATAGGTATAATACAAATTCTGGCTAAGATGTTTCCCTATCCCTGTCCAATTTAAATTTAAAAATACAGTTGTAAAAGGGGAAAAGTACAAAGAAATTAGTATAGATACAGATAGTTCAGAATAAACCAATTCGTGCTGTGTTTTCACTGAATTGATTTAATATGCATAATAGAGCGTAAATTAGACTGACATTTAAGTAACGTCCTGTATTTTCCTAATAACTCATTTTGGTGAATAGACTGATGCGTCCACCTCTGGTACTGCACGCATCGTAATGATTTTTTTGAATACTATCACCACATATTAGTAATAGTTAATACAAGAATTCCAAATACATAGAATTACCAAATCATCTTCATCTTCGAGTGCCGAAGCAGCCAAAGCTGCATATAAATTAGCAGCAGTTTTTGATACACTTTCTTGTGGCGCAACGGTCTGAAACAAACGGACGGTTTAAGGCGTATTTTTAAGGTACATTTTGATTAGGACGATGAAATGCCATCAAATTATTAAGGCGGCTTGTGTACAAATACATACACACAAAACGCCGCCAATGTATTGAACAAGGCAATTGATAAATGATTTTTTGTGAGCTAAGTTAAATACTAATCCGAAACGTTAAAATTGTTAATACAATTCAAGAACAAATAAAAAAATCACCTCAGCTTTCTCATCCACTTTTGGCTTCTTGGACGGTGGTTCCGTGTAGGAGTGGTCAGTAACAACGGCATCTGCAGCCTCCTTATCATTCTTCAAAGTCTGTATCACGCTTTGTATAATCTGTTGTTCATTTTTAAACTGTACGATTTGCCCTTGTTCGTTCTTGAACTGAATGACGCCCTGATCGCCCTTCAGCTGTATGATTTGGCCCGAGTCGTTTTTAATCTGTATCAATTGACCTTGATCATTTTTAATCTGTAGATATGGGGCGGGTTGAGCTGTTTCGCTGTTGATCTGTACGACTGTGTTATTTTCGGGTTTCACTTGTACGATTTGACCCGTTTCGGTTATTTGTATCGTCGGCGCGTTTAACTGTTGATTCATTTGTACGACTTGAACTGGCGGGTTAGATTTCTTCTCTAGCAGATCGGCTAGCATTTTGTTTTGCGCTGTCTTCTGGGGACAAATATGATGTTAGAAGTTCATAGTATAATAGAAAGTAGTTAAAAATGTTTATTGTAAATTATTAGTTTAAACATTTATAACTCTAAAATGTCTGAGTTGATTTTCATGGGTTTTCCGACCAAAATAACAAAATACTTTTTTGGATACCTTAGTTTTGAAAGTATTATTAAATTCACACACGATACAACTACATATATAACAGTGTAAAATATAAATATTTTGAATCAATACTTACTATAGTCAACTGTGCCTGTTCATCAATTTGTATCTGTACTGGTGTTTCCTTGTGACCTACGGACAAAGTTATTAGTGTAATTTATTGCATATAATGTTTTGCATTATCTTAACTTCTTTCTCAATACTTACCCACTTCTTCACTCACGTTAATCTGAAACAAGAACAAACTGTTATACGCATATGTGCATCTTTTGTTATAATAAAAGACTGGAAAATATTTACCTTTTCCCCAGTTATTAATGGAGTATTACTGGCAACTCCACCGGGTGTTATCGTGGTGCATTTAATTAACGTCTCCGGATCGACTTCCATACCCTGAAAAGATGGAAACTCGTAAAAAAAATAAAGAAAAATTTCCTAGAGGTATGAAAAGCTATAAGGTTCTTACCGTATTCGTGTTTGTCTGGATAACCACTGCGCCAGTTGGAGTTCTCTGCTGGTTTTGTCTTTGTGTAACCTGAATATTATAAATAAGCAATAAGAAAACGTAATTTTCATACTTTTAGAAAATTAGAGAACCATCAGTTGCACAATGGTTTCAAATATACCCCCACAAGATAGAAACTGGCCTTTAAAGTTAATTAAATCCTCAAATTATAAGATGTACATAATTTCTTCAAAGTCATATCGATAACATGCTTCCAACTAAGCGTCTCAAACGCATGCATGTTTAACGTTGTTAGTTCAATGTTACTTTCATGCATTTTATATTTTTCGATCGCGACTACGTCATATTAAGTTATAATAAAATTTAAATCTGCTGTTTAAGATTTTTCAAAATTAAAAATATTTTTCTATAACACACACACGTTTAGCATGCACGGGTTAATTTAATATGTACGGTAACTTTACCATTTGGCGCGCGTTTATACTGCATTAAACCTTTTGACAACTCTACTTAATCAAATACCAGTTAAATATTATTTTTAACTGCATAATGCTATAAAGAAATGTTTCATGAATATCTATATCCAACTAATATTGGAGTAGAGCTAAAAATCACTGCTATCCAATATTTTGCAGTTATTGCTGTAAATATTATCACCTGTTATTTATCACTATTACAATTCAACTGCAATAACTTTAACTTTGTCAAACTTATTTTAACATGACATGTTAGTAGTGTTAGTATGCACTTACTTGCGCTTGTATGCCGGGGCTTACTTTATGGGCGAGGAGATGTTTTATGAGTGATGTAGACGTGTTGGAGGTCGATTCTAGAGCTTGCGATAAATGGGGATGCGAGACGGGTTGAGTCTGCAAATTAGATAAATTGATACAATTGTAGAAAATCAAAGAGAATAATAAAAAACACGTATAAAGTTAAATACTGTCTATAGTTTACGCGAGTAGTACACATTTAAATAAAACACTTTAACGGTTTAGAACGGGGGACCACGAGGAGACCACGTGACCACGGCTGCTGCAAAGCATCCGAAACGTCGGGCCGAAGTTAAAAATCGTTTTCAAATAAGTTAAACTAATATATCGCGTTTTAAACCGTTAAAAAGTTTTATTTTAACGTGTAAAGTTATAAGTAACGGTAACGCAGACCGTCAAGTAATAAGTTACAAGAGTATAGATAAATTAGCACTACCCGGATCATATTCAATATTTTACAGATCTTGATTTTACTAAAATAATGAATGTATGTAGAAAATCTCACCGATGCCTGAGTTACAGCAGGTTTGACTTCAGCAGTTTTATTCGTTAGCTGAGCTTTCAGTATTGGCGACGACGGTCCTAAAAATGCAATTTGTCACAACATTACTCCTATGCAAACAAAAATCAACTTTATTAACATACTTGTATTCCACAATTTCAAGACAAAAACTGACTTATTATGAATTTTTAATTTTTAGTTAAAAGCCTTACCAGCTGGTGTAGTTACTTTTGCTGGTGCATTTTTCGCTCGGATCCCGATGTAAAGCTGCTGCATCTCACCGTTTGCTGTCGTCACCGTGTTAGGACCCACTGTACCGCCAAATACAGTCCTGTAAACAATTTTATTTGTGTCATTGTAAAAACTGTTTTTTTTTTAAATATAAATTAAATAAAAAATTAAAACCTTTTACGATCACATAAAATAAATGAAAACTGAAGTAAAATGAAATCTGAGGATTACATTGACTTAATTAAGCAATAAATGAATCCTTTAAAAAAGGTTGATCTTTAATGTAAAGTTACTTAAAAATGCTTAACCGTTTTGTATGTGCTTTACAAGTTAATGTATGTATAATAAATACCAAAAGGGAACATTAAATATTTAATGAAACGCAGAAAGTATAAATAAACGTAACACTCTAAATAGATTTTTCATTTATATACTGCCATTCCGTGCAATAACATGTTAAAAATGTATAAGTTTATAAAACATAGATAAGAAAATATATTTTTAGCAATAAATTAAATGTCTTACCTAACTAATCTCGGGAAGTGCGCCGGCGCAATTATCCCCTTGCGGCCCATCTTTGTGCAGCACGTCATGTAATTGCGGTACATCTCTGCAGCGTCGCAAGTGCTGTTATCGTTAGCCGGTAACGGTTCGTACGAGGAACGGAGCCATGCTTGAGCAAAGTGTTCGTTTTCCTTAAAACATATCTAGATTAGTCTTTGCAACGCTTGAACATACAATAGATATATAAATATTAGAATTAAATTATAATTTAGACAAAAAATACATACTTTACTAATAAATATTGTAAAATACATTGAACAAACGAATAAATGTTTGGTCCCAAATGTTAACACTCTTTAGTAGTAATATATATAACAGACAAGTTTTACGCAATACTGGACACTATTGCCGTATTACGCCTGTAGTAAACATTTCAATAGAACACTTTTAACGGTTTTAAACGCGAAAGGTTAACATATTTAAAACAAATAGTAATTTCGGAAATCCGTTTCGATTGTTTTACAGCAGCCGTGACCAACACTCGCATTTAAAACCGTTAAAATTAATTTATTTAAAAAGACACAGTATTGCTATTATCATAAAATAGGGTAGAAATGAAATGAATTACTTGTACAGTCCTTTGATGCAAATGCGACACTTGTATAGACGTCAGAGCATTTGTAGGCGTGATGTTTGGTGCGGCTGTATTAGAAACAATAATGTGCGCGTGCGCAGATGTCGACACCGCCGACTGGTTAGTATCTTGAAGTTTGGGTGGTGGTTGCTGCTGCGATAATAAAGGACTTTTTTATACAATAGCTAATAATATCAAATAACAAATCAATATTGTTGTTTCGTGTTATTATGTATAATAGATTTTCAATTTAAATAACGCCATCGTGCGATAACATGTGAAAATTTTTTAAAGTTTCAATCTTTGTATTATCTATATGGCACGGTTAAAAATAATACCTGTTGTGTTTGTTGTTGTTGCTTATCACCATCTCTTTCAGCCAACGCGGCTGGCCCACTCACTGTTTCCACTACTCGCATTAATATACACGCTCGCGGTCCATAACTTTGAGCCTAATAACATTAACAAAGATTTTACAAGACTGTAAGTCTATATATATATCAATATATATTTTTGTTATATGTGATGGGTTATATCTTATATGGATATATTAGAGAAATGTCTATATATTTCTAGACATACCTCAACAGTAACAAGGGACACAAGAGTGTGTACGAGGCCAGTGACTCGCGCAACCGCCTCGCTAGCTGCCTCCCCAAGTGACGTCAAGGCATACACACACTCTAAAGTACACACCAACACCATTATATCGCGCAGTGTTAGTAACGCACACACATCGCTATACACCTGTAAAATGCAATACATTATATCATCATATTTAGGTAAGAAAACCTGTCAACTATTGTTCTTTACAATACCTTGCAGGGAATTTCATTATTATATAGAAAGAATATATTCTGTCTATAGTTTACGCGAGTAGTACACATTTAAATAAAACACTTTAACGGTTTAAAACGCGATATATTAGTAAACGCAGCCGAAACGGGGCCCCCATAAAAATCATTTCCAAACAAGTGTAACTAATATATCGCGTTTTAAACCGTTAAAGTGTTTTATTTCAAATAATATATTCATTTATAAAAGTTGTTTAACATGTAAAAACAAAAACATTGTTGTATCATCTTTTCATGGAAATGATTTTTTGTTGTTTTTAGTGAGTTTTGTTAACTATTTATTATTGAATATTTGCTGCAATTTATTGGACCTTATTTTAACTTAAAGCGGTATTTTCACTTGTAATGGATATTATATATTTTTTTTCTTACTTTAGATTCAAGAGCCTTAAGCAGAGCATCTTCATTTGCCTCGTTTTGTGCGAGCTTATTTAACAATTCCAGTGCTGCTAAGATCCTAGCACGATCCGGTGACGTAAGCGCTGTTTGTATTGTCGAGAGAACATGTCTCGATATCAAACAAGTTGCGGGGTCCTATAATAAATAATTGGTTATAAGTGTAGCATATATTATTGGTTAAAGGTTAAAGTTAAGAAGAATATTTCGCGTTTTACACTTTGTTATATTTATATACTATGTAATTCTTAGTATTATGATTTAATTCTCATCATATATATATGTCAGATTTGATTCGCTATTTATATGTCAAATACGGGACGTCACCACCATCGAAAAGAGCTTTTGACGCGCTCCTTGGTATTCGGTGGCAATCCACCGAACAACATTGGTTCGATCCCCAACGGATCCAACACTTTTTTCAATATATAATTTTTCTGAAACATTCCAGTCTTTGGATTTCCGAATATCCAAAGCCAAAATAGGTCGACAGCACATCTTGTTTAGATGCTAAGGGCTGGGATTATCACCTGCCATCAAGTAAGCACCACGCTTGTTTGTCGTCCCTTCTTATAAAAAAAAAAACAATGTGTGAAGTTAGCGCGCTTCGTCAGAGTCTAGCCGACATTAGTGTGGTGGTCACTTCAAATCGAAACACCGAGCGGATAACAGATCTCTTGAAATTTAACCTATAATCTACTAAAAGGCTTTCTTTAGAATGTAACCTGTGTGTACTTCGTCACAAATGGATATTAATCATAAATAAGACTCTATCTAACTAGGCCTTCCGGCTATGGCATGTATATAATTGTTCCTCTATTTGCAAATACCTTTATTATTAGCTCTGTAGAGATGTTTCCTAATGTGTCCAAACCGCTTTGTCTAAGTGTCCCAACCCAGCAATTGGCACACAGTAGTAAAAATCTGCAAAAGAAGCAGTAATGGTTTTTATTGTAAAACATTATTTATAGGATTTTTAAATTGAAATTATTTATAAATTTTTTTTTAAATAATAATCTGTGCTCGTGATATTATATGTTTGTTAATTTATTTTTACAATTATTACAAGGTATTTAAGTAAATAAAGTCCAGTTTACCGTATGAGAGTAGTATTCTTAGCTAAGTATTGCACATTATCCTCATGAAATGACAGTGATCGTACAATTGAAGAGATTTGCAGGACACGTTGTGTGTACACACAGTTAGCGCCGCCTGGTAACTCTGGAGCGAAAAGCTGATCTTCCTCAGTAGGCTCTGTCACCCAATCTTCTATCTCCTGTTGATGTAGCTAAGGTTCATCATCAAGATGATGTTCCAAAATAAGGAAAATAAAGCTATAAAAATATATATAATAATAGGGATGTCTTTTAAATTTTTATAAATGACATTATATTGATAAGCACTTTTGCATTGCGTTAGGTGTTAGATGTATTGAGTTCAAATTGTAGGAATCATAATCATGTTTTAGTCCAAGTGCAAAATTCTTTATAACTTATCATAGCTAATGAGTAAAATTGATGTAAAAATTTAGCAGTTCATTTTTTTTATTTCCTATTTATTACTTTTTAATATTGTATGGCCCTCATTATAAAAAAAAATAATCCAATATTTACAATGACTTACATCCTCAACAATCTTATCCAGCACCTCATCACCATCACCACCATTCATCAGACAATCGGTCAATGTATTGTGTGCAGCTAATGCTTGAACCATGAGCTCAGGCTGTTCTATTCCAGGTTGCATGAATTTAGTTTCATCGGCTAGCTCTTTAGCACCACCTCCACCTGCTCTCATTTGCCAGAACTCATGGGGATATGTACCCCGAGCCTCATAATAGGATCGGCCAATCGTATCCCTGAGGCTCGCTAAAAGACACAATTACAAATTATAAATGTAAAAACTACTAAACAAAAAATACTTATTAGAAATAACCCTCAAGGAAAAATACAATTTCAATTATTGATTGTTAATTTAATATTAATGACAACACACCAAATTTTAAACTATATACTTACAATGATTATAAACACCAGCATGAGCCAGCAAGAAGTCCAAGATATGGGAAGTGGTATTAAGAGGTAATCTATTTGAATGGTCTGCTGCCAGCACAGTGCAGACATTTATCGCAAAATCCTGTTCATTGGGCATTGGCGACAGCAACGACAGAGTCAGCCTTTCTGATGGTCCAGCAAACTTAGGAGTGTTTGTTTTCAACTGCTCCCCAGATGCTAGAAGATGATAAAGTGATTACTAATTGGGTACTAATTATAAATCCGTATTAAGATACTTCTAAACAGGCAAAATATTATTGCTAGCCTATTTATGTACATATTTTTCTATTGATAAATTATTGAAGTTTAGCAAGCAGCATGTACAATGTTTTTTTATACAGTATTGCCTGTAAATTACTTTATTCAATTTGATGGGGTCGGAATGTAATGCAACAATCAGGTACTCGAACAACTAGTTACAAATTTCTGAATAGACAGAACTCCATAAAGTATGTAAATATTGTTGGTCACTTTAAATTACATTCTAACCCCTTAAGTAATACAGGTTAGTACCTGAAATATAAGTACCACTACCAAAACTTATTCTTGGCATCCCACTGCCACGGCCTCGTCGAGGGTCCTCATCCAGATCATTGTCATCATCTCTACCTGGGGGGCCTTTAGCTCTTTCATACCTGAAAAAATATAACACATATGTAAATAAAGTATGTAAAAATTAAACAATTGAAGTGTTGACTTTCAGTGATATAAATATTATGTATGAATGTATAGTGGCTGCACTTTTTTCAGCAAACTTTATTCGAGGTGAAAATTGGACAATATTGGAAAATTTGCTTATCAGATATACACACATCATGCAATGAGGACTCCATTTGAATTTTAGTTCCACATGCAGTTTAGGCTGTCACCATATGTTGTTGTGCAGGTTTAAAGAATTTATTTTCTCAAAGAATATACATATTCACTTAATGAGAAAACAATAATACTTAAACTTAAATGTGTTTACATGCATCGGACTTTAATTAAACGAAACAGTGATATATAATAAGACCATGCTTATTATTAACTTATACTTATTCTAAAATATGGAACAACTAATTTATATGTATAGATATTAGGTTAGTTCACTTACTTCTCCAAATACATGCCATAAATTCTCCGCAATAGTGTGGATCCATTAACACAAGGATAAGGCAGTTTCAATGGTCTCAAAAATGCTTCCCAGGTGTCTGTTTGGTTTACCTAAACAAATAACATTGAGTAATTTGTAAAAAAATAATATTTAAGTAATTAAAATAAAACTTTTTTAGAGTGATTGCTTCCATAGGAAAACATAGGGCACAGAAAATGATTAATTAAACTTGGTAGTAAACAAAAATTAGAATGATAATTCCTTTGATGAAAATTTGTAATAAAAACTTACTTTGCTTAAACCTCCTTTCTGTTGCACTAAAGAATAAAGTAGATACAAGTCAATTTCCACGCCATTGACCACCGGCACTTTATATGGTACGCTAAAACAAACACAAACAATAATATACCTTCTTAATATGAAACAATAAAAATAGTTTTATGAACTTTACTCACTTTTTACTCTCATTAAATTGTTTCAGTTCTTTAAGAAATGTATCTCTATCGCCGATATACTCTCTTGATTTAGTATTAATTTGAGTTTTGCCCATTTTTGTGTTCAATTCTATGAGCGGCATCTCGGAGACCTAGCGTCTCTTTTGAAGATGATGTGTGATTTTATGAATGATTAAGAACAAGAACGCATTTATACTTATTAGATATAATTAAACCCTTAAAAGACACGTCTACACTAGACAAAATAAACAATTATAATTGTTAACAACGGTATTCTATTAGTTTTTGAAAATGCTAGTTCAATATCACTCTAAAACCAAACCATTTATGACATATTGAAATAGGGTCAAAATTAGTGTGTCTTGTCAATGTCAGTTTTCTTTGTTTACAGCTTATAAATTGAATCTGTAAAGTTGATGATAATTAAGGTTGATCGAGTAATTACTTTAATTTTAGGCTTGGAACGAAACATTTATTGAATATTATGAATTTATAATACATTTATAAGAAATACTTTTTATCTTTATAGATATGGAAGCAACTAGCAAGGCTAACTTAAATATTTTATTATTCGATGTTTTCATGTTCCATTTTCGAGAGAGGATGTAGTAAGCCGTAGAGTAAAAGCTAAAATATATATATGGGCAAGTTCAATCATAATTTGGTCATTCATTTAAAAACATAATGTTCAGGTTTTTAAACTGAAATAGTTTGATTAGGTTTACGGTTATAATAGTTTATTTGGACTAATGATAATATAATATTTTAGAAATCTATACTAATGCATAATGCTGAAGAGTTAGTTTACGCACTAATCTCAGGAACTACGGGTGCGAAATGAAAAAAATATTTTTGTGTTAGTTAGAGCATTTATTGAGAAAGGCTATAAAACATTGCGCTGCGTCTAATAGAAGCTAAGATACAGCGAGAAATGTGAACAAAACGAGGGAAATTTATCATCATAGAGATGAATGGTTTAATGATTCCTCTTTAAATAATCTAAAAAAGTCTTTGACGCTTTATGTCTAACTTTAAAGATTAACTTGCAAATTCGTGGCTAACAGCTTAAGTTTATGAAGATGACGGGGTTTGCAAAAACTAAATTGACGAAGACTCTGGCTAAAATAAAAATATTTAGTTTTTTATGATATTTATTCATTTATACCGACAATAGAATAAAATGTGATAGGACCACTTTAATTAAGAAATGGGAATTATCATTTAAAGTTCCTATGATAGTATCGATTGAATAGTCAAGAAACCGATTATATTGTTTAGATGCGTAACATCGATTCCTTGACACTCACATGAGCATCCCTATTCAAGAATGAAAAAGTTTGCTTTCAAAACAATGTGTTTTTAAGGTTAGAAAGTGGTTTCTTAAAATTGTTTTATTGCATCTATTAAATTATATTGAGGCTTAGTAACGTTTCAAAATGGTTAAAAAGAAGATCGATAACCGTATACGTGTAATGATAGAAAATGGAGTTAAACTCGGACACCGCACCATGATTTTACTAGTTGGTGATAAAAGTAGAGATCAAGTAAGTTATAATTCTTAGTTAAGGAGTGTATTATTAACTTAAGTATTCTTATGACTTCAACCGAAGGTCTTTATTAATATAGACCTTCATCAATCGATGGAAAACCTTCTAATTGTTAAACATCTGTTATAACTTTTTAGAATTTGATTCTTTGTTTCAGGTGCCAATTTTATATGATATGTTAGTGAAGTCAACAGTAAAAGCGAGGCCTACAGTATTATGGTGTTACAAAAATAAGGATGAAGCTATCAGCAAGTAAGTTACCTTGTTTTAGTGCTTATGCAATCAAACGCGGGAAACTGTTTAATCAGGTTAATTTTTTTTATCAAAACGTGGAATAGATTTGAATTGGTAATACATACTGATAATACTAGTCTATGTAGTCTCTAATTTAATTAATTTTCAGTCATGGAAGAAAAAGAGCAAAAAAGATAGCAGCAGGAAAACTGGAAGTATCAGAGGAATCACTTTTTGATGCATTCAGAGTAGCGACAACTATTCATGGTAGGTACTACTCGGAGAGCCATGCTATGCTTGGTCAGACCTATGGTGTCTGTGTATTACAGGTAAGCAATTTTTTCTTATATACCTCTGATTATGCAACATTCATTTATAGTGTAAGTAAATTGAAATAATTAATATGTTTTACAGGACTTTGAAGCTCTAACACCAAACTTAATGGCCCGTACCATAGAAACAGTAGAAGGAGGTGGTTTAATTATATTTTTATTAAAATCCATGAGCTCCTTGAGGCAACTACATTCTATAACTATGGATGTTCATTCAAGGTAGTATTTTTCATGCTGATTAAGTTATTAACAATGTTTAATTTAGTTTTTGCCTACTCTAGTAAATGTTTTGTATATCTAAGCTTTAATAGTATATATTTTGTGAATAGAAATTGTGGGGGTCTTTGATAGTTTTAAGTGTATTACTCACTTAAGATAGAGAAGAAAATAGAGAAGAAGTCGTGTAAAACTAGTAGATAATAAAAATTAAACAAATTATATTTTTACAGATTTAAAACAGACGCCCATGACACAGTAGTAAACAGGTTTAACGAGAGGTTCCTTTTGTCTCTAGCAGATAATCCTAGATGTCTAGTTTTAGATGATGCACTTAATGTACTTCCAATATCTTCAAAGACAGCTCAAGTGGATCCAGTAGATGCTGTACCAGAGGTATGTAATTCTATAGACTGCATACATATCCTGATTTCAAAAAACCTTTTTTGATTCCTAATATATCAAGTTAATGAATAAATAAGTCTCGAGGGTGACATGGGGTGACTTCATGTGTGGTGATATTCCCAGTTCACGGGTAATTGCTGCAAAAAATGATTGCCTACAAAGGATATCACAGATATCAGAATTTACATTTTATTTCTTTATTTAAAATATTATTCAATAAATAATCATAAAACCGCATATTAACTACGCCATTAATTCCGACTGTTGCTCCTTATTCTTTATTATTGTTGTAAGAGGTAAAAGATTAAGATTCTTTTTTCAAATATGTTACAGCGAATAAATCCAAAGCTGACGGAATTAATACAGTCATTATCAGACAGTCCACCAGCAGGACCACTTGTGGCTCTGTGTCGGACGCACGAGCAAGCCACAGCTTTGATTGCTCTGATAGACACTTTAGCTGATAAACAATCCAGGTAAAATTTAAAATACTGGTTTAAATAGTCTTTAAATTACACTCTTAAGTCTTTACCCTGATTCTTTCATTTTCTACTCTTCCAGGCCACCACACTGTTTAACAGCCAGTAGAGGTCGGGGTAAATCCGCTTGCCTTGGCCTGGCCGTAGCAGCTGCAGTAGCCCTTGGCTACGTCAACATCTACGTTACATCTCCTCACCCTGAGAATTTGATCACATTATTTGAGTTTGTCCTAAAAGGTCTCGACGCTTGTTTGTACCAGGAGCACATAGATTACAATATAGTACGATCCACCAACCCAGATTTTAAGAAGGCGATAGTAAGAGTCAATGTTGCCAGAAACTCAAGACAAACTATACAGGTATGTTAATTAAAAATCTATTTAGATTTAAAAAATACCTATTCTAATAAGTTTCCGTGTCCTACGTGATTGTCGAACTTCTTTAACCTATTGATACATGCACCTTTCGCGCAATGCAATTTCAACCATAACATAGGTTTATATAAACACGTATATTGCTAATGTTCACTGTTCAGAAAATTCGATGACACGGTTGGGGCCTGAAACCGCGACACCAGGATGTTGGACTGTTGCTCTGTCATATGAGCTACCGAATATCACGCGATTCAAGTGAAAATATATATTCAAGAATATTAAACATTTTTAATATATTTGGATTGTTATATGTATAGAGAATGTTGAGTTTTGTGCGCCTTTTATACAATCGGCGCGAGACCATATTAGTCTCGGTGCATAACGAGCTACGGTCGTGTTATCATTTTATCAACCTTTTACTTGGTCCTTCGAGCCGGATATGAACCATCGATCTATGGGTTGTATGGATTTCCTCATTGTTTGTCACTAGTGGGATTCTATCATTCTATCAACCTTTCACAACATGTGCGTACTATTAACTCTGCCCATAGGACTAGACAGAGATAACATATAGCAATAGTATCCTAATTTCCTTACATTGTTACATTTACTTTTTATATAGTACATAACCCCAGACGATCATTCCCTGCTATCTGCTGCTGATTTGGTACTCGTGGATGAGGCTGCTGCAATACCTTTGGAACACGTAGCCGCAGCAGCTACCAAAGCACCTCTTGCGCTGCTCTCCTCAACAGTTTCTGGGTATGAGGGAACAGGACGGGCTCTATCGTTGAAACTCTTCGCACAATTACAGAGTGAACACAATGCACCACCTCCTGTAAGTCCCGCGTTTTAAAAACCTATATAATTTATTACCATATACTAATGTCAATATGTATGCAATACATTTTATAAAGTTTTCTTTAGTAAACAAAACTGCATTATCACTTATGGTTCATTTGTTATAACGTCCACACATTGATTTCTTTAAATATCAGATTAAACTTGAAGAACCGATAAGATATCGCGCTGGTGACGCAGTGGAGAGGTGGCTCAATTCTCTGCTTTGTCTGGAAGCACCAGCTCCCACCCCAGGCGCGGGAGCTCCGCCCCCGGCAGCCTGTGAACTGTTGAGGGTCAACAGGGACGCGTTATTCTGCTATCACAAAGCCGCTGAGGCGTTCCTTCATCGTCTTGTAGCTATTTATGTGTCCAGCCATTATAAGGTGAGTCAAGAAATGACAAAAATTAACAATTACTATTTTTATTAAGCCGAAACCACTAATTATTACATATATATTATGTAGGTATGTTGCAGTTGCAGTAACAAAAATCTGTTATTTTTTTGTTTTTTTTTTATCAAACCACTTTTCTCTCACCCAAAAACATACTTTATCCAAGAAATATGATTTGGAAATGTGCTTGTGATTTGTGAAAGCGTTTACAAAGTCGATTTAGTGTAGACGTTTTAACTTTGTGTAAGTAGCAGATGCCTATGTTTTATTTCTCATAATTATTATGCTATTTTTACTTCTAGAACAGCCCTAACGACCTGCAACTACTAGCCGATGCGCCCGCGCATTGTTTGTTCGTGCTTCTGGCGCCGACGCCGCCCCGTGCCACAACTATGCCGGAGGTTTTATGCGTAATACAGATGTGTCTTGAGGGCAACTTATCTGACAAGTGAGTCTTTTGAATTTATTTTTTACTTTTGTTTAAGATGTCTTGACTTCGAACTACTTTCAACCAGATATATTTGTGCATATGGGTCAAAGCATTCTTAAGAGTCCTCTTTCTTCCATATTAGATCTGTAAAAGACAACCTCGGCCGGGGTCGAAAAGCCGCCGGAGACCTCATCCCATGGAATATCTGCGAACAATTCGGTGATAAGGACTTTCCGAAACTCTCTGGAGCAAGAATAGTTCGCATCGCTACGCATCCGTCGTATCAACGGGTTTGTTTTTTTTTTCTTTATAATCTATACTAGTATTATAAAGCTAAAGACTTTCGTTTGGACGTGCTAATCTCAGTATCTACTGGTTCGAATTAAAAAATATTTTTGTGTTGGTTAGAACATTTATCGAGGAAGGTTTAGCTTATAAAATATCAGCGCCCTTAGGAACATTTATTTACCTTCACGGTTTTCGTTGCGTGCGCTGTGAAAACGATTCAATATAGCCAAAAAATATATAGAAAAGTGGTTTTATTATAATAACAAAATTAGTAGCATGTTTTCTTTTAGACTACATCTCAAACCTTATCCCAATGTTTTATTACTTGTTATTCTGGATCGGTCCGGCAATGATAGCATTTGGCTTAATTAATAAAGACTAGAGGCATGGTAATTTGTTGGTCCTGGATTCAATACTTTATATACTATTTCTTCTGTTCTGTTACTTTTATAACGTTCCAGATTATATCATCCTTACTAATATAAAAAGTAACTCTGTCTGTCTGTTACTCTTTCACGCCAAAATTACTGAACGGATTTGATTGAAATTTGGTATACAGATATTTAAGAGCCTGAGACGACATAGGCCATTACCATAGATTGGCTGTCTTAAATGCGCTCTTACATACATTAATAAACAGCCTAAATAATTAAAAATTCTACCCCAAGTCGCTATTCCACGCGGACGAAGTCGCGGGCACAGCTAGTTTGTTATAAAATATATTGTCTATAAAAACATTGAAACAAGCCTTGTTCACATCTCATAGATGGGCTATGGAAAGCGTGCATTGCAACAGTTAGCCACATATTACTCCGGTGATATTCCATGCCTGGATGAAGTAGCCAGTGATGATGATGAGGACCAGAAGAATGGCCATACAGACTCATTACAAACAGAGAATATTGTACCAAGGTAAGCTTATTGAAATTATTTGAAAAAATTATAATACTAACTCGGTAGCTCAATTGGTTAGAGCAATAGCACGGAATGCTGACGATGCCGATTCAAGCTCGAGTCGAAAAAGTTTTCAATGTATTTTCGATTTTTAATGTATATAGTGCCATCATGTGCAATAACAGGTAAAAAATATTAAAGTGTTCAAATGATTTCATTCTCATTAACTTTATCACCAATTCCTTTTTATATATTCTAGGTAGGTAGAAAGCCATGTTTATATTAATTTTTATAGACTTACAGCTAAAGTTATATGTCACTAAATGAATATATATATATATATGAACAATTTAAAAGGAACTTGTTAAATAAGAAAACTTGTATTCAATATATAACAGAATCTAATCATGAGATCGATATCAAAGGTTTTTTAATGTTTCAGGGCGAAACCACCCACGTTATTGCGACGTTTGACGGAAGTGAAAGCTGAACATTTAGATTATTTAGGAACTAGCTTCGGTCTGACGGAAAACCTACTCAAGTTTTGGAAATCACAGAAATATGTGCCAGTGTATTTAAGGTAAGTGTTTGACTATAAAATTATTTTACCTACGTTTCGTATGCTTTGCAGCAGCCGCGGTCACGTGTTTCCCCGTTAACTAATACATATCGCGTTTTAAACCGTTAAAATGTTTTATTTAAATGTGTACTACTCGCGTAAACTACAGACAGTATCTAAATACTGAAGTGTATTAAATTGAGTAGAGAAATTTAATACACCTAAGTGTATTAAATTTTTCTACTCTTCAATTATATTACCCACGTATTTGAAACGACCAACGTTATTGGAGAGTTGTTCAGTAATTATGTATATATATATTTACTTTTTATTTACAGCCAGAAATCGAACGAGCTAACAGGCGAACACTCGTGTATAATGCTTCGTTCAATGGCCGATAGTTCTTGGCTGGCTGCCTACAGTGCTGATTTTCGCAAGAGGTTTTCCCGGCTCTTAGGCAGATCTTTCCGGAAATTGCCTTCATCACTAGCACTTTCCACTCTGTTAAACGACAGTGTTAAAGTCGAAAAGCCACGTATGTATACTCCAGCTCAAGTTAATTTTGTTTAAAACTTTCTGAGAAAGATTATGGTCTGCTATACATACCGAAAGCTATGCAATACATAAAAAAAAACACACAAGTAAAAAAAACTACATTTATATATTTTTTCATCTCCCTTTCATCAAACTGGGCTTTCTTTTAAAATGTAATTTACAGCTTTGATCTATATCGATTAATTATTAGTGTCTTTGTATATATATATATATGTAATTAAAAGATTTTTAATTTCGTTTCTATAGTTCTAACCAAGCAGTTGATAGAACAATATCTGTCGGGCCATGACTTGTCCCGAATAGAGTCGTATTGCAGACAACAATCTGACTACAGGCTTATAACGGATCTTATCGCCCCGTTAGCTTCTATAATATTCCATACGAAGGTCTCGCTTAAACTGGATGCTATACAGCAGGTAATATATTGTAGTAATATAATTAACCATAATATATTTATTTATTTTATATAATGATTCAAAGTGCTGTGTATTAATAATTTTATAATGTTTAATTCATTATCTACAAAAACAAACATCGGGGAAATCCCGACTCGTTTCAAAAAAATAATTCGTTATTTGTATTTTAAAACCTTTCAATAATTCCTAATTTGAAAATATTCGAATTCGTTCCAAATTCAAAATACTTCTACTTCGACTATTATTAGGAGTTATTCCAAATACAAATTTCTTACAGGTACTTTTCATTGCAATGGGCTTCCAAATGAAAGACGTAGATGATATAGCGAATGAATTGGGTTTACCTGGATCGCAAATTTTGGCAAAGTTCTTTGAAGCGTGTAAAAAGACAAATGCCGCCCTCAATGTTGTACTAGAGAACACTGTGGCCAGGGAGATCGGTATTGATGATAAAACCGCTGATGTGAGCACGGAGGGACCGCTTAAACAGACTTTACAACAGGAATTGTCCAAGGCTGCCAAGGTATTAGTCGTGTTTTGTTTCGTTTATTTTGTACGGAAAATTAGAATTAAATGATTGGATATTTTAGATTTGTTTTAATATCCATTTTAAGAAGTTTGTGGTGAAATGGTTCATTATTATTATCATTAACTAAATTGGTATGCAATTAATTAGTAAGCCTTATTTTGTTACTTTACAGTAACTCTTGCCTGTCCCGATGTATGTATTTTGCATTGATTCGTTTCAAGATAAATAAATTACTACAGGTTTTTGCAAAAACCCTATAAAAAGAATTCACACACATCTCTTGTCTAATGGCACAATGCTTCAACTTCAACTGATGTAACTAAATGGTTATAAGTTTTGACAATCACCGGGCTCGTTTCTTCCTTATAAATTCACGTTGAATAGGTAGTAGAAGTCGATACAGTAGAGAATAACATTAATTTTTCAGGAACTAGAACGAAAACAGCGCAAAGAATTATCCCGGTTGATGGGCGAAGACCTGAGTCAGTACAGGATTAAGGGTAGCGATCTGGACTGGGGTCAAGCACTTACCTCCTCGTCAGCGAAACATTTGGTTTCCGTAAAAAGGTAAATGTTATAAGAGATTTTACAAAGCTACTTTGGTTCGAGCTGTTCGGCTGTCGTGATTACAGGTAATAGAATTGGTTCTCGTTATTTCCTCATTACGAGAGTAGCAATACCTTTAGTGAAATGACTGTGCTAAGATGACAGCTCATTTTAAAAATCTCTAAGATTTTGTTCTGAATATTTTATTTTTTTAATTCTTTATTGATGTTCATCAGTGAATAATATTTATTTCAGCGGGGAAAAGCGTCTTGGAGATGACAGCAAGGAAATCGATGATCTGATCGAATCACAAGGAAACAAGAAGAAGAAGAAAAAACACGTTAGAAGTAAAGAATAATTTTATGTCATTGTAACCAATATGCATAATTTTTTTATGGAAAACAAAATATAAAATAGTTACGTAAATACTGAATTTAAGTAAATCTACTTTGGTTTAATTTGCTGGACTTAAACTAAGACGAGACAGTAAAGAAAACGCAAAAATCAGTAATAATTTCTATAATTATTGTAATATAAAAAAGTGTCGGTAGTTATTCAACCCTTGGAATAGACAATAGATATTTCCTCTTAAACATAACAAATACGCGCGCCGGTGCGCAGCGTGGCGCGGGGCGCTCGTAAAAAAATATCAATTTGTTTGTAACTCGACACGCCGCTGTGCGCCCGTGCACCGCCCGCGCGTACTCCTATAATTTACCACTTTACAATATAATGTGATCTAAGAAAAATAATATTTTCGTCTAACGCCCGGTATACGGGCGTGGTAACCAATTTTACACTATTCGTTTACACTCGCTACGTTAAAATGGGTACGGCCCGACGGTTGCGATGTTCCCCTTACACTTTAAACATTGACACACAGCTCGACCGACACGACACAAGCCGTGCACTCTATCGTACGAAACATCTACTACAAAATTTATTGGCTTGAAGAGTGGTGCTGAGCAGAAGAGCGGTCTATTACACACTGAAATCCTACAGAATTGAGATTCCATACCATTCCAGTGAGTAATAAACCTTACATACAAAACAATTAAATGGTATCAAATCATAGTCAAAATAGAAATTGAAGACACAGGAGATCCTTAAGACATGCATTAAATCGCGTTGGCACTTTGTCTTATGTTACAAATGGAAAATATCATTTACTACAGAAAAACAAAGAGAAGCTCCCAAGAAATACCTGCTGTGACCAAACTTAGCGAACAATCTCATCAAAAGTGCAGTTTATATTAAATTTAACTTACAAACGCATAGTTTGGACCCAGCATTACACAAGCGATTGGTCTGAAGAATTATAGAATCGACTACGACACCAGCGAATCAAACAAACCGGAACACGAACATCGAAATATTAAAATTCTCTACTTATAATCCGATTTGTGGGATTAAAATTATACATTAAAACTTTTAAATAAGTTTAGAAGCAGTATACAGCATCCGGTACTCTAACGAAGACGAGAAAATTACAATATACATCTTACTCAATATATTCAAAGACACGAAAGCAAAACCACTAGACCTTATTGCCATGCTTATTGCTACGACATATACATACTCTACGTAAATCGAATAATAATGTAAATATAGTCCATAATCCGTTACAACATCCAATAAACGAAGTATTGTGTTCTTATTGCAATATTCACGTCGAATGTCGTCTGAAGGGGTCATAGTAAACAATGTTGTCACTTAGTATCATTGGACTGCGGTCTCTTGGACCGTAGCCCGCGTGCGACTCTCAAATTTCACGATATTTCGATCGCATCGCCCTTTCGCGATCAAATAAAATTAGGTTTCCGTTTTTCACTAAGGCACAATTTGAATTTAATTTTGAACTTTATTCAATACTAAAATAAATGAGTTCAATTCTCCTCTCGAGGACTCGCCTAGCTGCTACTACGTTGAATTAAAACATCCATACTTAAAACTTATTAGGTACGTCCACATCGCAATTTGACTTACATTTAATCTAACGCGAAATTAATGTAAAAATATAGTTAAATAACGTTATCTTAACAATATATTAATTAACATTATATAATAGTTGTAATAAATAACTGGTGTCATTCGGTTATTTATGTAAAATATGTTTATGGAGTTATATTATCACTTACGCAAGCGCCCTTCAAGGTCTGTCGTTCCAAAATATGACCAAAGCTTATGTTTTTTATATGAAAGACCATTACGAATAAATATATTTAAACCGGCAACATCATTTCAATCATTGTGCTAATCAACAGCTCGGAACCCCGTGACGTTAGATGAAAGGAGGTTTTATATGACTCTCCGTGATAAATGTAGAGAAAATCATTTATGTTACTATATTTAATGGGGTTCCGAGCCTTCTTCATTTGAAATAGTGTCCTGTCTTGTCGAAATTGTGTCTCACAGCAGTGTTGCAAACGCCTAATCGGAATTCGCTTGTGTACTAACTTATCTATCGTATACAAAGCGTTCGCGAATTTTAATTTGCTTAATTTATCCGAATAAATCCTATATTTTATATCTTTAACGCTATGCGGCTAGACAGAAATGAGTTACTGTACATATTATATTCGGTAGAAGCGAATCGCTTCGTCTAGCCGCACAAAACTACGGATGTTAAAAATATACGAGCTTGCAGCGTTACTTTGTATATACATAGATAAAATATTGACGTTGTTAGTGCGTACTATAACTAAGTGTATCTGTCGATCAATATTGCTAAGGAGGATGTTGTGTCCAGTACCGCCGTATGCCTGATAAAATTTTATTAGCAATTTTAAAAATTATTTACATACAGAGTTTGCCTGAAGATTCCCTAACAGATGGGAGACTTGAAAGAAATTAAATTGGTACAGTAACCAATATACGCATTGATTGTTACAAACTCAAAGATCCCTCCTTACAATAACATACAATAGCAATAGTGTTCATGACAGTGCAAACGGTTCTGAACACAACAAACGAATAACCTAGTGTGGCAGTTCTGAAAGACACTTTGCTTTAAGGCATTTATGGCTCATTTGACTTAAACTATATTGCATTAAGCGTAAAGCTTATTTCAGAATTGCTTCGCTCCGATCTCATGTCGAACCCAGTTTTGCCACCGCTGTATCTCTGTCACTGTATGCCAATAAGTTCATAGTTCTAACAATATAGATAAAACGATCTCCTGTTAAGATAAATTGAACACTTTGAATGCAGTTTGTAAACGATTGCTTCGCGATTAGCTGGGCTGCGGTCGAGAGACACCAGACAAAATTGACGAAGGCGGTATAGATAAGGCTATCCACTTAAGCGCACCGCTAAGTTACAACTAGCATTGCTTTACTATGAGGTATATGGGCGAGTCCCATGACTTAGCGCTAAATTGACCGTTTAATTCATCACGCGGACCCCGGCCCGACGCTCGTGGGAGAGGATAAAATAAAGAACAAAAAATTTATATACATAAAAATTAATGTATTCTATCATCAATAACATAGGTTACACAAATAATAAAATTAAAGGAAAAACAAATTTATACATATTTACTTAAATCAAATGTAAAAAAGAAACAAATTATACACGCTATCAACACAAGATGCTACTTAACTGAAAGAGTAATAAAAACAGTATTTTACAATTTCCTAAACAACCTGTCGCCCCCTCCAACATTCGCCTATATAATAGTTATAATTGTCAATAAAAATTTGGTTTCAATTTTAGGGATTTGAGATTAACGTCATACAACCAGTATTATCGTGATCACGTGTAAAATAGAACATTAAATTTATAAAAGTAATTATTATTTACATTATGAAACTAAAGTATTTGTGATTCACTTAATTCGTTCTACAATGTTAGTATTGACATAAGAATACCGAAAAATAAACCTAAAGAAAAGAAGCAACAAGAAACGTGATCTTAAAATAATGCAAATAAAAAAGATTAACAAAAAAAAAACAAAGTACATAAATGCGAGTTCGAAAACGATTTGTGAATAAAATTTTGAAGAAAAAAATTAAAGTACTTACAACGCGTCAAAGTAAACGAGCGATTGTCGCAAGGCACTCGGTCAACGCAGATCTTTTAACTTTATTCGGATAAAGTTCGTTTGAATTAAACTGTGCTTTTTACAATTATGTTTACACCAATACAAGCGTCATATCATATTCATTTCGCCGATAAAAGCACAATTCATTCACACGACCTCCATAAGCGCCTCACAACCGCGCCGACTTATATTTAAGTAAACTTCGCTAAACGTTCATAATAAATTACTTGTCATAATAAATAACGAATAAATTATAAATAATTTGTGCATACAGTAAGTACCGATTTAGTGTGGAACGAAAAATAACTGATGTGATTCACGCGAGGCTCCCGTTTAAAATATACTTAAGACGCAATAAATAAAATGTTAAGTAAAGAAGTGATGCTTCTCGCGTCGTCGTCAGCAGGTAACTAGCGTAGGTAATATTATAGGAACCGCGGCTTCCGAGACGCGGCAAAGGCTTCATCTTTACGAATGGCTTCCCGCACTTGGCTGGGCGCCGCCTGCTTGCGTAAGACGGTTCGCGACCGGTCGTAAAGCCGAAGCCTTGACTACACTAAATTATACTAAACCGAACGCTGCAAGCTCCTCTAACCAGTCAGAACATCGCGCTCGCACGCCAGGCCTCCACTCTCCACATTTGTTCCTTATCTCAAAACATTATAACTTCTTGTCCGCTTAGCTTATATAGTTTTACATATAAATTAAAATATAAAGTGAAAACTACACATTTCTTATCATATACTATGTACAAGGCATCTCGCTTATAAACGACGAATTTTGTAATTTTGTCCACAATCGTTTGATTTGCGCGCGCAAGTGAGTACGCGCGGTGCGTGTGTGTCCGAGGAACGCCATTTTGGGGATATAGAAAACACTTGGAACTGATGCGATTTACGATTGAAATCGTATAGAATGCTTTGATAACGCTTATCGACCCCGGTCTATAGCTCCAACATGACACGACACACGCACGCAATCCGTATTCTTACTATAAACGTTCATACAAAACCTATCTGGCACTAACATGTATATCCATTACAAAATGTATAATATAATATTATAATGTATTTACAATCACAACATAAATTTAATAAACAACCGAGAGATATATAAATTGGTGTTACAGAGATTTGTTTCGCTGCAAATAAAGATCGCGACGACCGATTTTAGAATTACTTGTACTCTTCGTAGTTTCATAAAGAATTTGCACTTGCCGTTTGTTCGATTAATGTCTATAGTGGCGTCTGAACTCTACTGAAAGTACTGTGAGGTGCAGAACGAAATCTTTATACTTCAGTCGCCATATTATTGTCTTTTAAATGTTTTTTGAATTAATGTGAAAGCAACGTTCGTGAATTGCGTACTTGATATGTTATTTAACAAAATATGACCGCATAATTTAAACCGATCACATTTGCTCAATCATTGTTCGTGAAGCGAAATGTAAAATTTTGTTCATCTCTTTCCATTGAAAAACTACTTATGTTCCCGCATAGATATTATTCTTTTTATTGGCCCACTTCTTGTTTCACTATCGCCAGAATGGCCTTAACTCAACACAATCAATTTCTTGCAAGATCAGCAACGTATTGTAAGTAATTTTTATTTGCTTTATTTATTTTGTTCAATCTCATTTAATTATCATCACTATATTGAATCAACGGTCTTTCATAAGTTTGCTAAATGTCAAAATATTGTTTAATAAATACGTCGGAATTTTATTTGACTAACGCAAACCTGTAAAATCATGAACAAATTTATAAATTGTTTTGTAGATTTTTTAAAACATGTTTTCACTTGGAACAAAATTCTTGTTTGTAAAAACTCTATTTCATAAATTATGGTAAACATATATTTTACTTTATAGTTATTATAAATATCGTCAAAAATCTGTATTCATAATCAATTATCACATGCCTATCATGTCAGATATTTTCTAATTATTGCTAAAATGCTCATTCTCGCTCGGTAAGTAAATTATTATTAATAAAGATGACCTTCGGTTTAAATCATCGCCCTAATCTGTATTGTTTTCGGACGTCGTATATTGGTTTAAAAACTGCAAATAATACTTGTAATAAAATTGGCTTAATACTTTGATCGGGTAATTGTTATAAAAAATCTCTGTTTACATAAAACAAAAAAAAAATACCGAATGTAATTTTTTTTTTCCACCTAAAATTTTGAGAAACAATTACGACTTTCTTTCCGTTCAAATAAAATGGATTTAACATATAATTTAAGAAATACTTATCGGTAACAGTACACCAAGGTGTTAAGGATTTTGGAATGTCTTATTTTTAATTGTCATAATACGGTTAACTTTAAAACTTGTAATTTATATGTGAAGTTATCGCTCTGTGCTCTGACGCAGATGGTTGATAAAAACCAAAATGTGATAAGCAAACTACATCCCAAAACTACTGTAAAATTATGATAGTACGCCTAATTAAAATACATCTTTGTCCATAGTCATCTTTCATCTCATTTAACACGTAAATCGTGAGAAAATCTCATTTTCATCGAATCGTATACGCAATGTACACGTTACAGAACAATGCAGGAATGGCACGTTGGTGTGTGATGAAACATTTGATGCCTTAAAGTCTACACAATTGAGGAAAGTAAACTGCGTCAGGATGTTCAAAGCCGATACTAGTCCAAGCATATTGGTCCTTCCAAGCCGGTCGCGATCGTTTTTCTCTCAGTTAGCCCACGGTCGCGTGTTTGTGTGTGTCTGTATGGCTGGAGGTGTAATGTTGTGTGTCACTGAGGCGCGCTTTTTAGCAGCGAAATCGCGTAACGGACATACTGCACTAGATGCCTGAACGTCGAGAACAGCGTTAGCGGCCCGCATTTACGGTCCACTGCGATGAAAAGATCTGCAAAAGGTTTCATTGCACGTAAAATACACCTATGTTGCCAGGAATTCTTATTAAAGTTAAAAGTAAATACTATCTACGCGTCAAGTTTACGCGAGTAATACTCATTGAAATAAAACACTTTAACGGTAAAAAATACGAATAATATTAGTTAAAACTATTTGAACTGGGTGACGGTTCTTCCCGCGACCACGGCTGCTGCAAATCACCCGAAACGTCGGGCTGTACAATAATTCAAATAAGTTTAACTAATTAATTCGCGTTTTTAACCGTTAAAGTGTTTTATTAAACATGGGTAAAAGTTTCAAAAGAAAGTACATTGTGCTATACTCGTATATATAAAACAATAATTTATTTTTTCTAGCTTTTAAAATGAAGCAAGGTAAGGATCAAGCTTTAAAGTTAGAGTTTTTTTAGGTTTTTATGATAAATATTGATTTTTAACCTTGATTGACAAAATTACCTTGGTTAGGTCTAAGCCGGCAGAGGCAGTCAGCCTGCTCCCACAAGTCATGCGCGACATACAGGAACGTGTAGTACTTCGTGAGCTGCAGCAGAGCATTGTGCGCGTGCGCAGGGACCGCGTGCGCCAGCGAACAGTACCCACTTGACGCAGACCCACCTGACCCGACAGAACCCGCTGGCGACGGTGTTGGGGACAGTGGAGACACTGATTCCGCGCATGCGGGCTAGAAACATTGGTGTATTTTGTTTTATTAATAAACTTAGAATTTAAATGTCTATTTCTATGTGTATTCTCATATCATGTACAATAATGTAATTTATTTAATAATAACCCGAGCCGGTTCTAGCAAAATATTTTCAATGATTTCATCCCCCTGCAAGTATTAAAGTAAACATGATCGACTTACATTACCGACCTTTTGCTGGTACTCTTGCACGATCTTGTAGTATTCCTTCACTTCGCGATTGTACATCTTGAACATGCGCAAGTACAGCAACGCTTGCACTCGTAGGCTGAAATAAGGACAAGGGTGAGTTAAGCAAGTCTACAATTTAGAACCTAAGTACGAATCCCGAGGAAAGGGATTGTTTCGGTCGGTCAGGGAAACTCTTACTGGGCCTTAATTGACGACATACCAATTTCATAATACATTTGATTTTTGATTTCGAACAAACATTTGAATTGACGGCATGTAGCTTCAGGCTGTAAATATTTTGTATTTACCTCAGTATGTCCAGTTTGCTGAAAGTGGAGTGGGGTTCGCCACCCTTCTTTCTCGCCTCAGCGCGGATCCGTTGCGGCATCGAATGGATCGACTTGATGTATTCGATGGTCTCCCGGTAGATGGTGAACGCCCGCTTCGTATCCAGTTCCAGCTCCAACACTCGCCCAGTTAACACGAAGCAAAGAACTGACTCGAGGTACAGCATAACACGCGGTAACGCGTGCTGCTCACTTTCAGCGGCTGAACGGAGGCGCTTTGCTTCCGCGAGGTAGTATCTGGAGGTAAATTAAATAATAATTAGGCTTTAGTTTAAATAAATCGGTTTAAAACACAAAATGTATTGGCAACTTATTTGCAGTCCCCCCGGTAGTAGCAAAGCATCCGAAACATCTGGCTGTAGGTAAAATAAATTGTAAATAAGTTAATACATCTCGCGTTTTAAATCGACAAGTGTTTTATTTAAATGTGTACTACTGACAATGCTTAAGGTTTTAGCTGCAAAAATGTCCTCTATAGAGAGGGAATAGGAATTTGGGGGTGAACAGGTCAGCGGTAGGTGTTAACTGATTGACCCGGCATACACCGGGTGTGCCCAATTAAACAAAGCTTCAGTGAGAAGTAAAGTCTGCATTACAATTTTTTTTGATCCATTCAACTCTTTCTGTGTTTAACAGGTTACTTATAGTAAAGCCTAACTGCATGACAAAAAGAAAAGCTTTACATAGTGGTACTAGATTTAATTATAACATGTGGTTACTTCTACAATAAAAAATTAATTGTCCATTTGCAAAAGTATTTCTCTTCTTTGTTTAAAGAAGATTCATGGATAAAAATTCAATAGACACTCAGACTAAGTATGAAATGATTATCACGATATATGTAAGCGGGACTAGGAGGTAATACTGACTTGTGGTCCCGCTCCTCGTCGGAGAGCGCGTCTGCAGGCAGCTGCTCGAAGTAAGAGTAGTAGATCGGCGTCTGGCCCAGGCAGGCGCTCGGCCGCTCGTGGTTCGTCGCAGCTACTTCGCTCTGGAAGGATTTTATATACATTTAGAGCTATTTGTCTATACAACACTGTTTACTACATACACGCAGATAAACAGAACATAAGATTAAATGTATGTTTAACTCCTTGTTTATTATTAAGTTTGATGACATTTAAAATGTCATTCAAGTAAAACTTTTAACAGTTTGAAAATATTAGTTAAACTATTATAAAAAAAATATTTTAGTATAACTTCTGTTGTTTAGTATAATTTATATTAGATCTAATTATTAATTACTTTCTACGTTTAAACTTTATGTGTATGTCGTGTCTGCATATTTACAAGCTAAATTTTTAAGATTTTTCATTTGTATTATATTATTTCAGCCAGGTCTGTAGTAATTAGAGGTTAGTTCTGTAGACCTATTAATTTTTTTTTTTGATGTCTCTAATGTCAAAGTCAAATCTGCTATTCTATATCAAAGATAAGCCTTCCTAAGAACTGACTGTAATTTTTTGTATTATACTTTCAGGCGACTTACTGTAGAAACAAATTGATAAGCTTTCACTCAAAAGCCAAACTCTTTCAAAGGTTATTAAAAATACCTGTAGGGGTGTCGTGGCCTGTATGACAGGCGGGGCGGGTCGCCTCGGGGTTCTTAGTGCACGCACCACATCTGGGCGCAGTCGTACCAGGGGAATGCTGACGATCACACGAGACCGGCTCCGACGTTCCGATACTAAAGAGCATAATACATTTTATAGAAGCTACATTTCGTACAATGTTACGGCATATTTAAAAATGTTTCACGTAGGTAACTAGGTAAACTTATGCACGTCACAACAGTTAACAACTAGAGACTCTAAATTAACATTTACTACCAGTTCCCATATCAAGGGCATAGAACGAAGGAGAAGAACTGGCAAGAAACTCGCCAATCTAAAAATGCTATCACCAAGTTTTATTATAAAAGAGCACCTGAAAATGAGCTTATAAAACATCAAAAGCTTATATACAACTAACAGAAACGGGCCAAAGCTTAACAAGGCTACACAATAAAATTTGCAGTGTTCTAAGTAACGCCGTTAAAAAGCTATAGTAAATTTTATTCAATCAAGGTTTATTAAGTAACCTAATAATTAGAATCTTACCATTAGGCACTGGACACTGCACAAAGCCAACATCTGCTTCAGCCCTCTCTGGAGTTATTCTCTCCACGCGCTCCACGGATATTTTCTTCTCGCTCGATAGTCTATCCAACTTTTCACTCGACCGATCGAGAGACATTTTGTCGCCCGACTTTCTATCGATTCGGTCGCTCGTAGACAGTCTATCTGAGGACCTATCCGATATGCGATCAGGGGACAGCAGATCGTTAGACAATCGTTCCTGCAAGCGGTCATTGGATAATCTCTCCTGCATTCGATCCGATTGTATTCTGTCTTGTAAGTGGTCTGCTGATAATCTATCCTGGAGGCGATCATTCGATATTCTATCTTGGAATCTTTCATTCGATAGCCTTTCCTGTGTGCGGTCATTGCGGTCCGGTCTGTCCGGGGGTAGCCTATCCGTCGACCGACGGTCTGAGGGTATCCGCTCTGGTATTAACCGATCGTTCGCTATTCGATCCGGGAGTCGATCTACGGAGGTACGCTCGATCGTAGGTCTATCTTCAGGTCGTCGATAGTCCGGCCTCTCAATGGGAACTCTCTCTTGTATCCTTTCGTTTGAGATGCGTTCTGCCTCTCGCTTTCGCGTGTACGTCTCTGGTTCCTGCGGAGGTGAGACCCTGGCGATGGCTTCCTGTGTCCTCCTTTCGTTGGAGCGGTCCCTGTGCCGGTCGTCATCATCAGCGCCGGATTCCGGTGCGGTGACTTCGATGATCGTCACTTGGCCTTTACCCTTTCCACCTTTTCCTTTGCCTCCTTTCCCACCTTTACCTCCGCATTCGTCGCCCTTTTTAGGAGTGAAAACCTGGCGAAAGATGCGAAATGTTATAGATTTCAAAGACGTCAAGAATTTCACTCCATGTATACATGATACATTTTGTATTGATCTCTACCTACGAACAATGTTAACTAAGGTTACCTTGCGGAAGATATGCGTCTTCGTATCTTGCAACGCATGATGCACAGGCGGGTCCGGTTCGGGTTCGCTATCGACCGGTGGGACAGGTGACAGCTGACGGTTCTTTTTCGGTCGACCGCGCTTCTTCTTCGCAGGCCGTTCTTCCGCTCGCGGCTTCGGCGGTCGTCCGCGTTTGACTCCTGTGCTTTGAGACCCACTGGGCACTGGGGTCGGAACGTTTGGCGAGGCTTGGACTCGAACCTGTAATTGGGTGATATATTTATGAAACACTTGATCATCAGTCCTCTTTACAAATAGATACCTTATAAGCGTAGCGACCACGCTAACGCCACGGTAACACCAGTTACCTGCAGTATATAATATTATAAAATACATAAGTCCAATAATATTCTATTTTATAAAACTATAAAAATACTACAAATTAGGTAAGTACTAGGACAATTATAAGTCTCATTTCTTATACATATTAAAGCAATAAGTATATAGGGCTTAGCACAATAATACTATGATAATGAAGACTAAATTGTATATAATCGATCAGCGAAACACACAGTAGAATCGAAGTTTCGTCAATGTAATTTATTATTAAAGGTACTTTCGAAGTGCTGAAGCTTTTAGTAAACTTAGTCTATGCCAATTATATTTTTGAATACATATTTAAAATCAAACTTGAGATTAGTATTAACATAACACTTATATTACCGGAACTGGCCTAGGCGTCTCTTCATCGCTGGATGCAGTCGAGATGCGATTGGCGAGTGACCGCCGGCGCCGCACACCAGGCGACGGCGACGACGCCTCCGAGTCGGTGAGATCCGATATCGGACTCTGCTAACAAAATATATAGGTCATTATTGCAAAACAATGGCGTATCTACATCTAGCAGCACACAACATTATTTTATACTGTTAAGATTCCGTTATGATTACGCATTAAATCGTGAATGACACGCATTTTTTTTTTTCACGTCTCTACATTATCATTCAATTGTAAATATCGAATGCTACGCGAACTTTGTCGACAATTGTTATTAGTTGACAAATATAATAACTAAACTGCGGTTATTTGAGAACGTGTGCGATGCGTAGAAGTGTCATTGTGTAACAAATTCCCATGAACCGATCCATAACATAATTACATTATGGTTGCACATATGTAAAATCGCACATGTTCGCCTTTCGCACTTACATAACGCAAGAAAGTTACTCATAGTTCTGTAATGGATACTATTGATAATGTAACGCTACGAGGCGCTTGGGTGAAGGGAACGGAAAGTTTTTGAGTACATCGAACGACCTGGTCAGTTAAAATGCACTATTAAGAGAATCTTAGAGTCATATTCATCCTAACGCTATGTTATAAGGATTTTTTAAATGCCTAGTTCTGAGCCACAAACTTGTTATGCTTATGCGTGACATAAAATTTAATTGAATATTAGGTTAAGTGATAAGTAAACATTATATTTTAAAAGAAGCATTCATAAAAATTACAAACTATAATTAAAATAACTTACGTAAGGTTATATTTGTTTAAGTTGTCATAGTAATTTTCTCATGAAAATTTTGTACAATATTATTATAGATTTTTTTTGTTTTTAAAAGCACATAATGGCATTATATTAATTAAATATATATTTACATTGAAACAATTTTACGACACGGCCGGAACTTGAAACGGCATTCACAGTTCGCATTCAGCACGGAATCTGTGATGCTGTGGATGCCGGTTTAAGTTCCGCCATGACAGTATTTTTTTATATGATAGATATATGTATATTGTATATATTATAGATGTTAAATATTGTTTAGGTTAGATGCAAGTATGCCCTATTGTATGACATAAATTGTTGTAACTCCAAATGGAGGAAAAGATTCTGCGCGCACGCATTCCACCAGAAACAGACCTCCACAACGGCGGGCGCAGTTGCTAAATTCCCGTGAATGGCTCCAACAGCGCGCCATAACGTATCCTTCAATCGGAAATACTTGAAGAGTATCCTATTTCTATCGCGATAGGGGATGCAGCTCAAGCTGTTCTCGAACGAGTTGAGTCCGTTCCTCAAGTTCGACTTCAGAATGGCCAAGTTGATCCATTTCTGCCGAACGTTTTCCTCCCGCTGATTAATGCTGTTGTGCAACAGATTAATTAGGAGCTGGATAATATCGTCATCCATTTCCGAGTGATAGCATTAATCGCAGAGATAACAGAGATTTATCTCTGGAAACTGCCGCTCCGCGATTTTACACACTGGTTTGGCAATGAATTTTGCGAACAAATTAGCGTGCGCGTCCCAAACGTTTTGATTAACACCGAGCACTTGCCGAGTACCAACTGAGTCGCACGACACAGTGTCGGATTGAAAAAAGGTTTCGCTGATGCAGCGCCCGAGTACAGGGAATTGTTTATCACAAGTAACAGGACACTTGAGAACTCTATGTCTATAAAGAGATGAGTTGCACAATTGCGTTTCGATAAATGAGATTATTGGTGAGTTGAATTACTATGCTGTTATAAAAATGTATACTTTGGGTAAATTAATATTTAAATGATAACAATGTTTGGGGTACGGAGGAACCCGCTCTAACGAGGAAGAAGATGTACATGTTAAGTGCGTGAGGAATGTGCCAAAAACTTGACGATAAAAGGAGTGGCGGCGAGTTTCATGCCAGTTCTTCTAGTTCGTTCTTCGCCCTTAACTGGTAGTAATTTTGAATTTAAGAGTTTTAAATTTCAACTTTTTTGACGTTCATAATTGCACTAAGCTACGTGCATGAATAAATTTTTGATATGATTTGGTACAGAATTTTCAAAATGTTTTGTTAAATATTACCCTAACTAGTTAAACCGTGCGTCGCGTGAAAGAGCAATGTACTTGTGGGCTACATTCGTTAAACTTAGAAATCTATAATTTCCACTTACCGGTTTGCCTTTGGCATCTGTGAGTACATTGGTCAGATCCGGGTGGTCAGGCGGCGGTGGCGGTGCGAAGTTGGAGAGGCCCCAGGAGGGTCGCTGCGCCGGGGGAGGTGCAGGCGTTGGCGCGGGCGCAGGCGCCGTCGATTCAGCTGACGAGGACTCCGACTCGGAGTCAGATGGCGACGACTCACTCCCCGAACTTGGGCTGCCTCCAGACCGGAGCGGTGACAGGATTCTGGAAACGGTGAAAAATTGATTACAAATTATTTCATGATATGTTTTAAATAAAGGCACCGTTAAATACTGTTTGTAGTTAACTCGAGTAGTACACGTTTAAATAAACACAAAAATAATTTTCAAATAAGTTTAGTACTAATATATATCGCGTTTTAACCATTAAATTCAAATTCAAGACGTTTATTGCCATTTTAAAATATTAACAAACATATAACTTATAATTAAAGTGTTTAAATGAAAGGTACACTTTGTAAAATGAAGCCTATAATCTACTTGTTTCGCAGAAAAGTTACAACAATATGACCATTTGATGAGGTATTCTGAGTTCAAATCACATACCAACATTTTATAATTAATTTTATTTGTTTGTCAACTCTTATTAAAATTTTGTCTAATTTCCTGTATTTTTTTCGACGTTTTGTTCTTTTCATATTGTATATAACAATTAAGAGTTGCAACATTGTTTAGTTTTATTTTTACCCCTTACCATCTTTTGCAATGTTCCTTTTGGCTCCCTTTTTAAAAAAAAATAAAAAATAATAAATAATGTATAAGGTAACAATATATCATTATTGGAAAGGTGACTTACGGCTCTAGCTTTGTGGTGGTCGCTGCGACCTCGTCATCACTCTCTGACAGACCAAGGTCCTTATTCACCACGTCACTGTAACATATACGAGATATATTAACTTGGTTCTAAACTCACGTTATTATATTGTTTAATACAACAAGTTAGTAACCCAAGTGCGATATTGGTGGTTTGTTGTTTTTATTATAGATCCACAGAATTTAATTCACAAAAACGCTTTACATTTTGCAATAACAAATTAATCTTATATTCTTTTGTAAAAGTTACTTAAATAATGTTATGTGAGCTAATAAGCTCTCTAGCAAGTTCTATAGCCTAATACTATCTTATATAATATGACCAGGAGTTATACTAAAACAATAAATAAATTTAAAAACTACTACAAATCCTTTAGTTGAAGAAGGAGGCTAGATAAGTTTGTTAAGAATACTTACGGCGATACAGAACTTCGCGAGTTTGATATCCGGCCATCCAGACCTACAACAATAAAAGGTACATTAATTTACATTCATTGCTCTTCGGTTGAACACTAAACACGTCATTAAATAACTCAACAGTTCAATCGTTAAGAATTTTGCAGGTGTTATTCAAATTAAGTACTTCACAATCAGGCGATAGGCTACAATGTAAATCCTAATGAGCGTCCGAAAGCCGTGTTAATTACGTAAAGTGTACCGTAACGTAACGTACAAGAAAAAAACGTTTACGATAAATTAACATTTAAATAAAACAATTTTTATATTTTTCGAAACGTCGATCCTCTACATCTTGAGTTTGGAAGTAAGAGTTGTCATGGGCCCAGCTCAGTTAAGCCACCAAGGTATCATCACAAATTTAGTGGAGATTGTCATCAAATCCTACAGAAGCATAAGTAACAACTAAAAAAATTTTTCTACATCATTAGTCTGACCCCAGCAGAAAGTTCTAGGGTTGGAACTTAGGGCGATGTTTAGTTAGGCGCATTGTAAACACAGTCGTAAGTTGGGCTCGGTCGAAAGCTCGATGACTTCGAGAGCTACGAACTTTACAGTAGCTTAAGTCTGTACTAATTATCTGTTTAGATAACGGCCCATTTCTAATTTTTATTACCATTCCTGAGAGGCATCCGACAAAGGTGCGCGTTTGAACAAACATAACAAAGTGGGCCTAAACAAACTAGTAAGATTTTAGAATTAAACTGTAAGATTGCAGTCAGTGTTTTAATTATAAAGGGTTCACCCCTTCAGTGGGACGTGGGACATAAATACAATTTTTCGGCATTTATATTTAGTTTCTACGACCGTTTACAGTAACAGGCAGTAGTCGATCAGACTTGTGCCCTACCCGACCGAAGCGATTTACTTCCACGTGTTATTATGTAATTTAAGACCAAACCTCTCGTTTTTAACTCAGTATTTAAGATTGGGGTAGCAAGGTGGTAATTATTGATAATAATTGATCTAAACTGTACTTTGTATAGCGCAATTGTTTAAATTATACCAACGTATCGTTTCGTCTTTTCCACTCTTAATTGGTTTTCGTCTAAATCGCATACGCGTATTTGTATGTGCTTTTGTGCTTTGTACTCATCAAATATTCAGACCACAAATCTCATTAAAGAGACATCAAACGTCTGCAAGCATTCCATTAGAGTTTCAATCTGTCTCGATCTACTTGTACACGTGGTAGACAGGTTGGATCTAAGGTCGTCTGCCGTCATAGACGGGTCAAACGGCACTTTAAAATTAATATGGAATTACTGAGGTGGACGTAGCAATTTATATTGCTTTAACCCTACCTTTTATATTTTTTTTAAATTTACATTTTATGATAATTTTAAACGTTCATCGGTATAAAAGGTGACAGTAAAAACCAAAAATCAATATAATGATAACTAAGCATGTCTAATAATTAAGGATTTTTATCCATCGGATCGAAGATTTCATCCCCACCGGGTCCAGCATGATTCTAATCAATATATCTGAAACATGTTGGACTTCGTCTGGGCACCTGGATATTAAATTTGTGGTGGTAATTACGTCGCAAAACCGAAAAAAATATATAAAAATGGCTCTAGCATAGCTAATTTCACTTCTACATTAGGGACACCTACAGTTCCCCCGTGACCACACTCAAACCATACGTATGTCGAGTCGGATTTAGCGTTTTAACTGTTTTAAATAAATAATCTCAAAAAGGTTTTTAAACGTGCACGTTGCACTAATACTTGTCTATCGGCCTCTATAATAGGAAAATAAGGCGGACACCGAAGTTAAACTCCAACATAACCCATTAATTGCCTATCATTAATATTTGCCCTCACGATATTCACTTTATCAAATTATCAAAAGCTTGTACAGAATATACGAAATATTTTGACCCACATAAATAAGCTGCTGGAATTAATAAGGCAAATATTAATCGCTTTAATCAATTAATTTCTGTTTAACATTCAAAATATTATGTGACCTAGAATCTAGATGCATACTATGAGAACTGTACGAATAATTCCATATTAATTAAGATGTTAGCAGCTAGTAATTGGCTTCTGTTCATTTTATTTTGCTATTTGGATTGCGTAACTAACGATAACGAAAAATAAAAATGTACTAATATGTAGTCTGTGTAGTAGACTTTGGGTAGGGTTTAGGTATTCAAATATATTTAAAACGTAATTACTAGGTTACCTCGCGTTTTTCGTGAAGCACGAGACACCATCTATGTTTGTTTCATTAAATAATTTTAAATACAGGCAAGATGGAAACTACGTAGGTGCTCTTCCATAATAAAACTTTTTTTTGTTTCCCCGATTTTCAAACCCAAACTGTCTTTAACGCTGGGCAATGTTAAACCACTGAGGACACTAGTGTTAGGAGCCTGTAAATAGAACTTATATCGTATATATATATCCCCGATCCGTATTCAAAGAAGTTGATGAATATTACGACAAGAAACCCCTTTTGTATCTTAGAAAATTTCGAAACGACCCGTTAACTTCTAATTAAATTGTTTGAAACAATACAGGCGGAACAGCGTGAAATTAAGCTGACATTGAACTTTTTACAAGTTACAAAAACGCTGTAAGAATTCATTGTTAAACAAATTTCACATTTACGTACAACAATATAAGCAATAAACTCGGGCAACAAAGAATTCTACTTTTTGTATTCTGGTATTTGTGCAATATCTTTTAGAGAAGCGTCCGTAACGTTTTGTTTAAGTAAAATATTTAGAGTGCAAGTAATAGGAAATGAGAAGAAATCTGTTTTGTATAATATACCATGTAATTTTTTTGAAGCAAGTAGATGACAATGTGATGTCTCGAAGTTAAAGAATTTTATTCTAGTTTCACGGATTTCAAACCAAAGTCCTCTCACAGTTAATTCAAATTAAGGATAAACGAACACTCTTTCACACTTATGACATATGTAGGTATAGATATGGATTTGTATACAAGTATATAAGCCTAAGTTATTTCAAGTGCCAAGTAGAGCAAAACAATTTTGGGGCATGTTTTAAATGTAAACAATACGGCGCCTGAGTCTCGCTGTAACCGAATCGATGCTAATTAGTAGGATTTATTACACAGCTACACAATGCGCCGATAAATAACGCGAATCGATACGATCGAGCGGCGAGCCGTGTCAAACCGCGGACTGACCGACGCATGCGCATTGTACCTAAACTAACGCAACCCGCAGGATATAGATTATTTCTAGCAACTAGCAAACTAAAAATAACCAAAAATATCGTTTTCAATTTCATCTTTAAAACAAAATGCGATCAGTTTGTTGAAGAAAGATTATATTGATCATAGTTATGTACAGACATGAATAATTAGTACAAATTAGTAACAATTAACATACATTTAAATAAAACAATTTAATAGTTTGCGATCGTGCGCGAACGAGACAGAGGTCTTCCCGTGACCACGGCTGCTGCAAATAAGTTTAACTAATATATATCGCGTTTTAAACCGTTGAAGTGTGTACTTCTTAGACTACAGACAGTCTTTGATTTGTATGTTAATCAGCTACAATTACATTTACAGACAAAGATAAATTTATTGTGTTTTTCCATCAACTACATAAAAGTAATAACTATCACGCATCCCTTTTATTCCTATAGTAGTATAAATACATAGTTAACACTCGTTGGGGTGTCTATAACGCACGCAATTTTATCGAAATTGTTTGTTGACCCATTGAGCAGAGTCGAGGCGGTGTGGCAATATTTGTATTTTGTGCTAAAATGGCTGGTTCATGTTGGGTTTTATAAATTTCTGTCAATAAGCTAAATGGATATGTTTTCGAGATTTTTAGTTTAAACAAGTTTTTTTTACATATCTAGGTACATTTCAATACTATGTTAAATGCTAACTATAATTATAAATATAACATGAGTAACTATAATTTATAAATTTATAACACTACACATATAACTAAAATTATGCTTGTCACAATTTAATATTATTGTGTCTTGCCTATTTCAAAACACGTACCGCACACATAATCCTGACCAAGAAGCACTTCCCCACACTCGATCAGCTGCTGAAGCAACGTCAAGCGGTTCTGATAGCCAAAGTCTGACGTCAGCATGCCCAACATCGTGTCACACACTCGCACAATAACGCCGTCAAGTCACGCAATATTCAAAGTCACACTGTTACTTATATCGTTTAGTAACATTTTAAACTATTCACATTAGTATTTCGCACTGATCCGATACGAATAATAACGACGTCAAAACCTGTTATAAAAATACATATAATAAAACGTACGTCTAATTCTGGCGCGAAACACCGACAGATGCGCCTGCGACGATACCGAGACTCTATACTGCGTCTTCCGAAAGCTGCTACGGGAGACAGGTGGTGACAAAGAGCCCCTACTTCCCCTCTAAACAATCCGCCCGGCCCGACTTCCCGTTCGACTCGTCTTCCGATCGGTCGGCCAACCGGTCCGTGTTTACTACGCGTTCTCATTGATTTCCACTAAACGTATTTGTTTGCGTTAGACGCATTACTATTATTACTACGCGTTATGCAACTCTTTACAGCCGACTCACTTAATACCTTACTCACTTCAAATGAATTGTAGGAAGTGGATTTGTTGCTTTTAATGTAGAATTATTACACGTTTATGTAAGCAATCCAACATTGATAGCAATAAACAAATATTTTTTTGTCGAGCTAAAAAATTAACAAATGCTTGTAACGAAATTGTAAAATTTATGCCAATTAGACAATAAACATTAATTATCTAATTGATGTCTTAGTCTAGTTCAAAAGTTTATTTTTATAAATTTGAAAAGAGAAACGTAATCAACAAAAATAGGGCACGGTGGCTCAAAGCACAGAACGCTATAGATTCCGGTTCAAGTCCCACCGCGTAAATTTATATGTGAACAATATTGAAGTTTTTAAAAACACGATCTACAAGTCGGTTTAAATGAATAAAACATTATTTTTTATTAACTAGCCATCTACATCGATGACG